GCTCCAACGAGGAAGACGCCAACATCCTCTCCAGCCCCAGTGAGTGCAGGGAGGGAGGAGGGAGGAGGGTGGTTGCTCCCAGGGACGGTGCCGGCCTGCCTCGCTGCTCCCTCCTGGGTGTGAAACGTGCTTTGGCACGAGAACATTTCCTTCCCAAGCTGGCCAAATGCTCTGGGAGGCAGCGGGGGGGCTCTGCTCCCCTCTGCACGGTTACACCTTTCCAAACCCTTGCACCATTGTCACGTGTGCTGCCTGCCTGCAGGCTTGGGGCTCAGCAGCAGCGTGCGGGCGGTCCCTTGGCTGTCAGGATGGATCTGCACCAAAGAATAATGGGGCATTTTGAAAAGACGTTGAGCATTCAGATGTGTTTTGCTGAGTTCCTGTGGAGCTTTTGCTCCAGAAGGTCATGCTTCTGAATTCTCTGATCAGAGCAAGCTAGGAAAGGTGATGAGGTGACACCTTCCTTCAGTGCCACCTCACCCTGTGCCACACACATGAAAGGCTCGGGGAGGTTTTGTTTGAGTCGATCTCTGTGGGTTCGGAGACCCGATGTCCCCAGCCCAGCAAGGAGGTGACGTCTGTGATGGCTGTGGCTAAATCCTCAAATTCCACCTCTATTAATAATGCAGCGAGCGGAGCTGATGAGTCCTCATGGTTGCATCTCCTTATCCCTGAGCTGCAGGTTGCAACAGCCCCGGCAGGACATGCTGTGGGGGCCCATGCCCTCCAGCCCCCATCCCACATATGTCTGGGCTCCTAGCAGTGAGTCAGGGCTCTCCTTGGTCATTCTTGTGTCCTGACTGCCTCACCCTAACTCCTTTATTTGCCATTTTCCAACACAACAATAACCTGTGGTTTTTCTTGGTTTCATCACTGTTGAAATGTGGGCTTTTCCCTTTGTTTCGATATCTTTATTTAACTCTTGGTGCAGTTCCACCTCTTTCCAGTGACACTTAGGACTTTTTTTGGGCTGTTTGCTGCCGTGATGTGGAAATCCTGCTTCCTGCAGCAGCCACATAACTCATGTGATTCCATGAGAAAAGTGGGGGAGGGCTTTCATTTCTTGATGAGCATCCTCAGAGCATCCCAACATGAGTGCTGATTTTTGGCAGCAGCTTCATCCCGTGGGTCAGCCCAGGAGCCCCCAGCCATCAGCACTGGGCAGGAGCACCCGGCAGCACCTTGGGGTGGGGACCACACAGATCCCCCCTTGGCTGCCCACTATTTACTGCCTGTCCATTGATTTTGCTGTGGCTCTGATAGCTCAGTCCTACCCTGAGAGCAAGCTGTGAGAGCTGCCGTGCAGCTGTGGAACATCTGGGCTGGCTCGCCCTGCTGGCAGCACACACAGGATGTGTCCAGGCCGTGCACGAAGCTGATCCCTGCTTGCTCCTCAGTCGTGACATTGCATTACTGTGCTCTCGTGAGGTGTCAGGGTCGAGTCACCATCCCCAGCAGGGAGGCACTCACTTGCTCAGTCTCACTCATGCTCACCCCTTGGAGATGTCTTTGAGCTTGGTCAGACTTGGAAGAAATGTGCAAGAGCAGAGCATGCTGACACATCTCCGTCGTGCCAGGGACACGTGCGTGGATGGGCAGCTGGGGTCAGCCCTGCTGTGCTCCTCTGCTGTGCCCAATGCATGCAGGGCACCGAGTGCTGCGACCCCCCCAGGGGCTCACTGGGTCTGAGGGCTCCAAGCATCCCCCTCACCCCATCCTGACACGTTCTTTTCCCCAACAGATCGCTCAATGAGCAGCTCCCTGTCTGCCTCCCAGCTGCATGCTGTCAGCATGAGGGACCCTCTGAACAGAGTGCTGGGTAAGGTGGGCTGCAGCCTGCTGCTGAAGGCTGGCTGTGAGCTGGGGTCTGTCTGCAGGCATAGGGGTGATCCCAGCCACGCGGGCAGGCAGAGCTGTCTGTGACTTCATCTGCTGCAGCCTGCCTGCCCTGACAGTTCCCTGTCCACACAGCAAACCTCTTCCTGCTCATCTCCTCCATCCTGGGCTCCAAGACGGCCGGCACTCACACGCAGTTTGTGCAGTGGTTCATGGAGGAGTGTGTGGACTGCCTGGAGCAGGGCAGCCACGGCAGCATCCTGCAGTTCATGCCTTTCACCATGGTGAGTCCTCCTCTCTGCCAGGGACACTTTGGGAATGGAGAGCATGGGGGGAGCTGCTTTGAGTTCTGCTCTTCAACCCCAAGGTGTCAGCTCTGTTCTTCTTCTGCCAGGTTTCAGAGTTGGTGAAAGTGTCCACCATGTCCAGTCCCAAAATCGTCCTGGCCATCACGGATCTGGGTCTGCCCCTGGGCCGCCGCGTCGCTGCCAAAGCCATCGCTGCCCTGTGAGCGTGGCTCTGCCCCTGCTGTGCAGGACAGAGGTGCAGAGTGGCTGCTGGGGGACTTCAGGAGTCTGAGTGCCAGACTGGGGCTGGGACCCCTGAAACTCTCTCCATCACCGTGGTTTGATGCTGCCCCGTGTGAGGGCTGAGCTGGCAGCAGCAGGAGCTGCTCCCCTCTGTGCCCAGCCCCCGAGGCAGGCTTGCACTGGGCTGTCAGAGACTGAGACCACCCCACTGCTTGTTGTTTTTCTAATTCATTCATTCCTTTTGTAGAATCCCACGTTGCCTCGTTCCTCTTTGATTTTCTGAGCTGGTGCTGAGGCAGAGGCTGAGCCTGGCCCTGCCCTGGGGCAGGGGAGGGCAGTGAGCAGCAATGTGTTGTGCTGTGCTGGGCAGGGGAGGATGTGGCACTCACAGTCCCTAATGCAGAACCAAATGCAGCTCTGCAGCTCATCACGCTGTGCCCGGGGCGTGGGCTGGAGGAGGATGCAGGTGAATCATAGCACCTAACGGTGCTGTTACGGGCTGATTCAGGGATCCTGGCTGCTCCCAGAGCCTCTGCTGTGGCCCGGGCTGCCCATGCTTTCCCTGCCCCGTGTCCCCCTGTACTGCTGATGGCATCACAGCCCCAGAGAGATGGGAGAGCAGTGCAGTGGGGCTCGGGCCCCAGCCCTGGTTTGGCCTGCAGTGATGTTGGGTGGCTGTAGCCCTGCACAGCGTGCCGTGTGCTGCTCTCAGGGTGGAGCAGGGATGCTTTCCTGCCTCGCTGTCAGCTGCAAGCACGTTCCTGTTGGAAATTCCTCCGTGTGAGTTCACCCCAGGGCCCTGCTGTGAGCACAGCACCCAGCGTGCAGTGAGTAACAGAGCAGCGGTCAGCTGCCCTGCTGAGTCTGTCACCAAACCCCATCCCCGAGGGGGTGGCAGGGCCGGGGCACCTGAGCCTCCTCTCCTTTGGTTTGTGCTTTCTGCTCGGCTCACAACAAAGAGGAAAGCGGTGCCTGGGCTGGGGGAGGCACCTGCCTTCCTTTGGGCAGCTCTGCTCTGAGCCCCGTGGTGGGGTTCACAGCCCCCGGTCCTCGGCTCGCTGGCACTGACCCACCGCACACCTCTTTACCGTTAACACGGAGCAAAGAGCAGCTGCTCCATCGCTCTGTCAATATTTGCAGCCCTGTGCGCGGCTTTGGCCCTTCCCAGCGCTTCACCTTCCAGGAAAGGGTTGGAGCCGGGAGAAGGGGTTTCCTGTAAGCGCTGATAAGCCGGGGCAGGAAGGAGCGCTGCTGCTGTTGGCTGAGGGCTGGCGGGGCACGGCGTGAGCTGCCTCCGTGCTGGGAGGTTTGGGGGGGTGGGACGGGACCCCTGGGGACCCGCAGCTCAGCCGCGGTGCGGGGATGGCGGCGGTCACAGGATGCGAGCACGGGACGGGCGCGAGGCAGCGGATGCTGCAGCGTTTTGGGACACGGGGACAGCCCGGGGTGAGGCAGCAGCAGCCGCGTGGCATCGGGGAGCGGCCGGGGATGGCCGTGGGGGGGCTCTCCCGGCCCCGCTGCGTGCCCTCGGCGCGTCCCCGTGGCTGTTCAGCTCCCTTCTCTCCCTGCTGAAGCTGCAGCACGGTGTGCGCGGCTCCTGGAGGATCCCCACAGCTGTGGGGCGAACACCTCGTGGGGGGAGAGAAAGGAGAACGGCTGAACATCCGCACCGCCACCGCCTGGGGACTGCGGGGAGGTTTGGGGCAGTGCCACCAGCAGTGCCACCACCAGCACCGCCACCGGCACTGCTGCTGCCCGGACGGAGCGCACAGCTGCGGTGCTTTCTAAGAACTGTCTGCCCACGCAGCACCACAGGATGGGGAGAGGAAACGGCCCCCGGGTCACATCCTGCGCCCCACGCGTCCCCTCCCCGTTGCCACATGGAGATCTGGGCTCAGCCCTCTGTGTTGGCGTCCCCACATCCCCATCCCCGCAGCTCTCGGAGCTCTGTGGCATCCGGAGATCCCAGAGCCATCCCAAAGCTGCACCCCCCACCTCCCCTGGGCAGCCTCATCCCATGGAGGTGCACACAGCACAGATGTTGAAGCCAAAATAGAGTTTATTTCCACCGTTGTGACATATATAAAAAACAGCACACGCTGCTCTGGGGCTGACCCAGCTGCAGGAATAAATACAGTACAAAACACCGCTCGGAGGATCGGAGCAGCTGTGAGACTCTGAGATACAAACGTAGGTGTGGGGGCACAAATAAGTTACACTGCAATAAATAGGAGCTCGGTGCGGGCAGAGCGGAGCCTCAGCCCCAACACGGGACCCCATCCCGGGCTGTGCTCCCCTCCCTCCTTACCCAACAGCTCCTGGAAACGAGCCCGGGAGCGGTGACACCGCGGCTCCATCCCTGCACCCACGCGGTGCTGCTCGGAGCATCGTCGGAGTGGATGAAGGCTCCCCATGGGGACACCGAGCTCAGCCCGGCTCAAACCTCGTAGCAGAGATACGCTTGTGTTTAAATATTAAACATGGGTGGTGCTGCACAGAGACCCGTGCACGGACGGCAGCGCAGGGCCGGCACCCTGCGTGGGGGCTGGGGGGCAGCGGGACCCCCCGGCCGGATAAATATTAAATAGCCATAAATATTAAATAAGCGGGGAGGGGGTGGGGGAGCGGCGGGCGTCAGAGGCGGGCGAGGTGCCGCAGCGCACGGTACGCCGTCTCCAGGAAGCGCTGGAAGTTGGCCAGGATGAAGAATCCTCCGACCTGCTGCTGGAAGTCGGTGGAGAAGGCGGGCGGGGGGCTGCGGTGCTCAGCTGGGAGCGTCACCGTGTCCAGGCCCAGGTCCTCCATCTGCGACACAGAGCAGCGGTGTCACCGCGGGGTCCGGGCTGCCCCCACGTCCCCGTGTGCCACCCCTACTCACCTGCTGCTGGATGTTGGTGGAGAGGTTGGCAGCGTCCAACTGCAGCGTCTCCACCAGCGCCGTGTGCTCGGGCAGCAGCTGCAGGACGGCACCCAGCGAGTCCTGGTACGCGTGCAGCCCGGCGCGGATCTGACTGAAGCACACCTCCTGTGGGGGAAAGGCGATGGGGGAACGGTGCTCGGACCCCCGGCCAGGCTGAGGCCGGGCAGCTCGTGCCATGGGTGCTCGCTGGCACTCACCGCCTGGAAGCCGCGCTTGAGGCACTGATCCAGCGGTGCCTGCATCAGGGGTGGGTCTGGCCGTACCAGCTGCAGCTCTTCCTCTGTGCACAGCTGGAAGGTGTCACACTGCGGGCGAGAGCGTGGGGTCAGGGCTGCAGAGCCTGTGACACCCCATGAGAGGCCAGGGTGCCGTGACACTCCCAGGGGATGCAGGACCCCCCACCCCCACCCCTGTCTGCACGAGCACAGCACAGCGACCCGCTGCTCAACTGCATGGAGCAGGGATGGAGCACAAGGTGGGGAGGACCGAGCAGTCAGGGATGGATGGGGTGCAGGGAGGCTGCCGGCCACGGCCCCACAGTGCTGATAAGGCTGGGAGGGGAAGGTTACGTTAAGAGGGCACTCACCACCACGCGCTGCAATGCAGCCACGTCCCCCCTGATCTTGCGGGTGAACTCCAGGTTCTTGTGCAGGAAGAGCTGGAAGTCGTGGTCCCCCGAGAGCTCGGCCAGTGGAGCTCCATGCAGCGCCTGCCACGAAGCGCCCAGCACCAGCGCCAGCGCCAGCACATCTGCAGGACAGCGGGTCACACGCTGACACCGGGTCACCCCAACGGTGCTCTGGGGACCCCCCTGGGGATGGGACCCCGAAGGAGCATGGGGAGGGGATGGAGAAGATGCTGGAAGGGCGGAAGGGCTGCAGCCCCACATGCCCCCCGGTGCCACCCATGGGTCTGCAGTACTCACGGGTGAGGCAGCACATGGTGTACAGCTCTGTGTCTCCTCCTGCAGCACAGCCCGGCCCGGCACAGTGCCCTGCCCCGCTCTGCGCGCCCTCATCGATCGGGGCATTTTATAGAGGGCTGTGGGGATTCACACTGATGTGGCAACAGCGCTGATTGCCTCATTGTCTTAATCACCCGCATGCAAATCCCGGGTGCTGGGTGCTCCTGTGCTGCGCTGCTATGGGGCTTTCCTGGTGCTTCAGTGCCACCGAAGCACAGCGGTGCCCAGCTGAATGCTGGCAGTGGGCAGTGCCAGTGCTGTGCCTGGTCATGGCTGGTCACTCATTAACTCGCTGTGCAAGGATGGTGGCGTGGCTGTGTAAGGATGGTGGTGGTGGCTCTCAGCCCGTGCAGAGCCCCTCACCGTGGTGTCAGCGTGGCTGTGGGACCACCATGGCCACAGGACCCAGCGCCCTGCCTGAAACCCCCACGTGAACCTTCCCTGCCGGCCCCTTCGGGGAAGCGGCATCCAGGGGCAGCCCCGGGGGGGTTGGCTGGTCCCGGCCCCCCCGTAGTGACGTGGGCTCTGGGTTGGAGCCAGTTCCAATGAATGCTTTCAGGAGGATCTCATGGGCCGACGCCAGCTGGGCCAGCTGCTGCCAGGCACCCTGCACTGCCCAGGGGGGCACAGAGTGGGGATGTAGCCATGGCGTTGCCCCCCTCAGCCCCCAGTAGGGGAAGAAGCCCATAAACACAGGAGGCCTCACCCAGCACAACGCAGGCGTTAACTCTGAAGCCTAATGATGACAGACCCCCCCCCAGCATAAAGGTTCTGCCTGCGGCTGCCTGAAAGGACCTCGTGCTGGGAGCCCATCTGTGGGGTTTCTTGGGAGAAATCCTTCCAGCTCTGCCTTTGCTCTGCAGGGAGCAGCCGGGCCATTCCCCTGCACAGCGGACATTGCGGGATCGCCGTTCCTCGAGCAGCACTGCTGCCTCAGCAGGTCAGTGCTGGCAGGAATTGAGGCCGGTTCAGGGTGGGGTTGAATCAGCACCCACAGGGCCCAAAGCCCCCACCACACTTCCAAGGAAGGAAGTGGCAGCTGGACCCGAAACCCCGTGGGTGGCAGTGCGGGGTCAGCGCAACGTGCTGCGGTTCTGCCTCGTGGCCACTCTTCCTCTGCTGACCCTCAGCCCCCTCCCAGCATCCGCCAGGAAGTCACCACTTCCGGGGTGTCCCCGCGTCCCTGGAAGGTGCTGGCTGGGCTCACAGCCCCATCCTATTCATGAGACCCCCCCGTGTTCCTGGAGCAGGGATGGGGCTCCATCCATCCCCTAGGGTTGCCCCACGCCGGAGGCACAGCCCCTGGCCGCCAGCCCAGCACAGGCGTGCCGGGAGATTCCCAGATTTTCCCCAGAGGCCAAGAGCAGCTGCTCCCAGCTGCCAGCAGCACCCGTCCGCGCGGCCCCCACCCCATCTCCATCCCCAGCCCGTTATCTGTGGGTCACACAAAGGCCCCACCCAGGTGCCTTTTCCAGTAGGGATGGGAGGGGAGGAGGCAGCAGCACGAGGTCCCAGCACAGCTCCCCTCCGAGCACAACAAACCCACGGCAGGAGGACAGGTGGGTGTTTTTCCAAGTTTTATTTTAAAGTCATAATTGAAGCTTAACAAAGTCTGACCCCTCAATCAGTGCAAGAGCTGTGGGGGTAACAGTGATGCCCAGGGAGCCCCGCTACCGCGGCCCCGTCCACAGGAGCTCCCACTCTCTTGGATCTGTGTGTGCCTCGCAGGGCTCAGCAACAACTGACCACAGGCAACCTCAAAAGAATGTTTGTTTATTGGGGAAGGGGTTTCCCTCTGTGGGTGAGGGAACAGGAGATCGGGGCCTGTGGCTGGGGGCCGATGAACCCTGCGTGCCCCCCGCTCCCAGTACAGACATGCAGGTACTTATAAAAGAAAGGCAGAGGGGGGACCGGGGCTGCGTGGGGCAGCTCTCCTCAGACAGCATTTTCCCTAAGGACAAATAAAAAAAACATAGAGCCAGGCCAGAGGTCAGGGGAAACCGTCGTCATCGTCCTCTGCCATCTCCTTTGCGAACTCCAGGTCCTGCTGCTCGCGCTCCCGGCGCTCCTGGAAAGCAAAGGCCAATGTTGGGGTTGGAGCTGTGGAATGAGCCTGGCACGCTCCTAGTACCAGTAGGGAGAGGGTGAAAGCTCACCTCTGCAGATTCCAAGTCCTTGTTGTAAGATTTGGGTGGGAACCTCATGGCCTGGAAAGTCAAGGGAGAGGAGAAGCCGTGAGCTGAGAAGCGCTTCTGTTCTGCCCTGCTGTCCTTCCACTCACAGCAGCTCTACTGCAGCCTGAGCCAAACTGCCTCCTCTCTCTGTGCCACCCCCGTGCTCCCTCAGCTCCCCGGGGTCCTCACTGAGCTGCGCTGTGCTCACCTTGACTGACATGTTGTGGATGTCGAGGCAGAAGGAGATGCGCTGGTGGAATGCCAGCTGGGGCTCCCGGGTCGAGTAGATGTCAATCATCTCTTTTGACTGCACGTAGCCCTTCTCGTGGTTAATGCTGGCCTCAATCACGCCATCCCGGATGGCCTGTGAGCCAGAGAGCGCGTGGTCAGGGCACCACCTCCTCCCAGGGTGGAGGCAGCAGTTTAGAGCAAAGGAAGGCGCTGGGGAGCAGTGGGCTCAGGACAGTGCAGAGATGGCAGTTGGTGCCCCCAGCGCCCCCAGAGCAGCACAACCTAAAACCAGCAGCCCTGGGAAAGGAGCATGGTGGGGGCAAGGCAGGAGAGGCCTGGCAGGAGCGGTGGGCAGCCCAGGTCCCAGGAGGCAGAGGGATGAGGCTTCCTGCACAGCTACCTTGGCAACGATGAACTCCGCATCCTCGGGGCTGTCCAGCTGCAGCTTCTGGGCAATGTCAGCCAGGGAGATGCGGGAGTAGGAGAGGCTGATCATGCGGACACCTGGGGGGGAGGGAAAACAGGAGTAGAGTCCCACAGCATGCAGCACAGGTGGCAGCCTCCCACCAAGCCTCTGGTGTTGGCACGGTCCACAACCGCCACACCTCCTACCCGTCTTGATGACATTGTGCCTCAAACGAATGATCAGTGTGTAGGTGCCATCGGCCTGGAACTTGTCCCCAAACTGATCGAGGACTTGGTTGAACTTGGCCAGGTTCCCAGTCCTGACGGCTGCAAGGGAAAATGGAAGAGAAAATGTGTGAGTGAGGGAGGGAGGGAGGGCCGGGGTGTGGTGGGAAGCGCAAGGCTGCCATCCGTCATCTGCCCCATTCAAGAGGAAAGGAGAAGCCGGCCCTTCAGAAACTGCTGACTGGTGCAGCAGATTGGCACCACTCAGAATGGGGAGAGGAACCCTCAGCAGCACCCCCCCTCCCCACCAAGACTTTCCTTGAAGTGGGGCACTCTGCCAAGGGATCGGGGCAGAGGCACACGCAGCAGCATCGTACCCTGAGTCAGCAGGAAGTATGGCATGAGCGAGCGCTTCAGGGACGGCTGTCTGAACTGCAGCCTATCTGGGATCTCCCCGAGCAGCAGTTCCACCACGATGAGCAGCTTGTGCACCTTGCATGGAAACAGCTCCTGAGCCCCTGAGGCCAGGCCACGTCCAGGGGCAGCTTCCCCACGGAGTGCAGACCCCGTGGGAGCACGGCAGGCTCCTGCTTACTGTCTGCTTGAAGCCAACTGCTGTGTGCTGTGGTGCCTTCCTCAGAGCGTTCGTCATGGTCCTCCTGGCCTCTGAGTACTCCAGCTGAATGGCCTTGATGCGCCCTGGAAGGGGGAAAGTGTTCAAACGGGACTGAATGCATTTTCAAAAAGCAAATCTGACCAAATGGGGCTTTGCATCCCGCCTGAAAGCTCCCACCCCAACTGCTCCAGGAGGTTCTCTGTGGGATCGCAATCCCGTGTGCACCCTGAGCTGCCAGCACCACGCAGAACCCTCTGCATCTCACCTGTGTAGTAGAGGTACCGGGCCCACTCGTTGTTGTTGGCCTGCTCGGGAAACACCGACTTGGAGACGAGTTTCTCCGCTTGGTCGTAGAGGTTGTAGTGGAGATAATTCCTCAGCAGCAGGTTGAGCAGCGTGGCCTGGCCATCTGCATCGTGGCGCAGCGTGGCTGTCCGCAGCCGGGCGTGCAGGAAGCTGCAGGGAAGGGAGAGAGCGTGCAGGGGAAAGGAGAGAACACAGGGAGAGCCCAGCTGTGCGGGGTCAGCCCTACCTCCTGACAACATCGAGTTTATTCAGGAATTCATAGATGCGGGAGTGGTAGTAATAACACTTTGCCACCACCAGGTCAAGGGCCCGGCGGTTCTGGGAGCTGATTTTTTGCATCAGGTCATCAGACACTTTTTGAGCCTGCAGGAACAAAACTGATGTCAGAGAAGAGGAACTGCGGCCCAGGAGGAGCAGGAGGAGCCCGGAGGCTGCCCCAGGCTGGAACAGAGGGGAGGCAGGTCCCTGAGGCTCCCAGGAGTGCCACACAAAGGGCTCAGGTTTAGAGCTGCATCTTGGGGCACCTCACCTCCGGATATCGCTTGCTGTTCATCAGGTAGATAACGAGGAGCAGCTGCAGGTAAGCCTCCACTTCTGGCAAGAGAGGAGCTGAGGCCGCTTTCCCCATCCGCGGGCGAAACTGCAGCTCAGCTTCTGTGTCCATGGGCTGCAGGGGGCAGAGACGTGCTGGACGTCAGCCCGGCCCACCCAGAGCCCGCATCCCATCCCACGCAGCCCCTCGTCCCCCTCCCGCCCCGCACAGCAGCTGCCGAGGCTCCACGGGGGGGCAGCGAGGTCCCCGCAGCCGCACCTCCTCCAGGAAGCCAAGAAGGAAATCCCGCACGGCGCTGTTGGAGGTGAAGAAGCCGTTGACGGCCTTGTGGAGCACGTTGGCGTTGAGGCGGCGGGATGTGGAGGGCAGCGCCCGCAGCGCCCGCAGGACGTAGCGCGGCTCCTTCCCCGACACGGCCTTCTCCAGCTGCTTCACGTGCTCCTTGATGTCTGCGGGGCACAGTCGGGGCACAACGCGCCGTGCCATCGCCGGGGCTCAGCACGGCCCCCCCCCCCCCCCCCCCCCCCCCCCGGCTCAGACCCCGCCCGCCCGCACGGCCCCCCCCGGGCCGCCGCTCACCCTCCAGAGTGATGGCATCCAACTCCCGCTGGGGCTGCCGTTCCCCTCCCGCCTCTCCCGCCGGCACCGCCGCCGTTTCCTCCTGCATCTCCACGTCGGGAGGGGCGGGCGGCGGTCCGTCGGGAGGCGCCTTGGCCTTTTCCCCGCGCCGCCGGGCCGCCCCGTCCTGCTTCATGGCCGGGCCGCGCCGGTGACACTGCAACACGCGCGGGGCGCGCCGGGACGGGGCAGGCGCGACCAATCGCCGCCGAGCCTTCCCGCCGGACCCGAGCAATCGAGCGCCGAGCTCAGCGCCTACTTCCGCCGGGGGCGCTCGGGAGCTTCCGGTAAGCTTTCGGGTATTTCCGGTCGCCTCTCGGCTGCTTCCGTCACTTTCGCGGCGCATGCGCGCTCGCTCGCTGCCTGCGCGGAAGCACGTGGCTGCGTTCGGAGCTCCCGGCGCTGTGTTGCCCGGCTGCGTGTGAAACTGCGTGTGAAACTGCGTGTGAAACTGCGTGTGAAACTGCGTGACACTGCGTGGGGCGGCCAGCCGCCAGGCTGCGGGGCTCCTCCTTCCCTCCTGCATTTTTAATGGGGACGAAAGCACCGCTGGCACCCAGCTTCGGGCTCTGTTAGTTCTGTTGCTTTAAGCCTGCTTGGAAACGAGTGGGAAAAGCAGCAGTGAGCTCTTTAAAATCAAACCAACCCACTTTGCTGCGCTTGCAACTTGAAGAAAGAATCGGTGTAATTGCTTTTTAATCGTATCAGGCGATTCCCTTTCAGTCAGCCCTACAGGAGGACCCGTCAGGATGCACTCAGGCAGTGCAGTGCGTGCAGGGCTGCGTACAGAGCTGCCAGGCATGGGAAGTTTTCCTTTCTGCAGGCAGCAGCGCTGCTCCCCTGCAGCTCCACCCCACTCATCTCCAGCACCGCCGTGGTCAGCTGCTGCTGCTGCTGCTGCTGGCTGAAGGAGGAGAGCAAACCAGCAGCAGTGCTGCGCTCTGCATTCTGCTCCAGGATGCTCCTCACCTTTGCAACAACAGAAGAAGCAAAATCAGCATTCTGACAATCCACAGCTGGAAGTTAAGGCTCCGAGATCTCTTCTGTCAGCTGTAGGTATACTGAGCCATACATGTTTATGTACTTCTCACTCTTTACATTTTTGATTCCTGCCACGTTTGGAGCAGTGGCTCATTTCCCTCTCCCCAGAGTTACCTCCAATGCTGCCATACGCTCCATATGCTGCCAACATCCCATAATATGAACGTTGCTTTGCTTGAGCTCCCATTACCCCCACCCTCTGTTTAGAGCCAAGCATCAATGCTGTATATTTTCTCACCAGTTTCAGCTGTTGGGGCACAATCTTCACTTCCCAGGACTCCAGCAATAGCAGCAGCTGATCCTCCGTGAGCTCTGGAGGATGAGAAGAGATTTGTGCCACGATGGCAGCGAATCACCCCAGGGTGTTTGGAGAGGTGAGAAGGGTGGGTGACCGTCCTGCATTGGATGCCTGCATTCTCAGCAGCTCTTTGGGCACTTTAAGCTGCATGAATTGCATGGCCTCCCCATGGGACGAGTGAAGGCACTGCTCTGTGCCTGCAGCCCTTACCACTGAAGGCATCCAGTGTGTAGGAGATGGCTTCTGTCAGGCTGAGGAAATCACAACGTGCAGAAATCTTAAGTGTGCTGAGCAGGACTTCTAAGTCTGGGCTCTGCGTTGTCAGCTCACAGTTATCAGGGTCATTGAGGACTGCTTCCACCTGTGAGAAAAAGGGGAACAACTCAGGGTTTAGTGAAGCTCCAGCAAAGGCTTCTTTGCAATACACCCACAGAACCAAGAATCCCATCATCTCTGTCATTCTGGGTGGAGATAAGGGCCAGGTGAACGTGGTGAGCTGTGCCACAGCTGTCTGCACAAAGCCTTCTGGAGGTGTGATAACAAAGAAAGTCTCTGGACTTAGAAACTCTGCTTACCTTCTCGCTCAGCTCCTCGAGGAGGTTCCTGTCTCTCATCACAGCTTTGATGGACTTTACAATGATGGCATTCAGCTCATCAGCCAGGTGGGACAGAATGTGACACTTCTCCTTAACTTCTTCCTCCAGTGCATCTAATTCTCTGTGTGCAAAACCTGCAAGCCAGAAAGTGACCAAATATTGCACTTATAATTGGGGCAGTCCTGCAGTGATTTCACTGCCAGCCCTGTGTATAGAATCTGAAACACTTCTGTGAATGTTGTCAAAGTAAATAATGCTCAGTTTTGTGTTGGATGATTGTGGCTCAGGCTGTGGGCAGTAAGCAGCAGCAGCAGCTCTGGGGGTTTGTGTCTATCCCAAGAGATCCCATCCTTCCCAAATGGGATAACAGTAGTGCAAATAGGGGTATTAAAACAGTGCTTACCATCAGATACAAACGTTGGTTGATTACTCTCTGGAAAATGGTTAATACCTGCAACAGTATAAAGATGGAATTGCTGGTTTAGAAAACAGCTGGAGCTGGATGGGTGATGGTGGTGGTTTTGTTTTGGACTGAAGGCTGTCCTGAGCAGCTCTGTGTTACCCGAAGTGTGAGTTACAGCACGTGCAAATTACAACTGCTTCTGTCCCAGATCTGTTTGCAGATGAGCTCAGGGTAGAGCACATCAGAGAACACTTCTGCTCTGCTGCAGAGTTTCCTGGATGGAGGCTTTGGGAGTTTCTGTGCCACTTACCCCAGGCTGTGTCCCCGATGGTCAGCTGCATCGCCCTGAAGGCCAGCGTGCAGCCCCTGGGGATGGTGATGCTCTCTTTGCTCCCCGTGGTGCCCTGGAGTGAAAAATCCATTACTGGGCTGAGTGATGCATGGGGTTGGGGAGGATGGGGTCCCAAGCTGAGGAGAAGGCAAACCTTAGCAGAGAACTTGGCGTAAAGCTGAGCCATGAACTTCGCCTCCGCCTCCGTGGATTCCTCATATCTGGCCTCCTCTGAGGTCTCTATCGTTTCATGAATCACGTATAAGTTCTGCCTTGCCTTCCTCAGCTGCTCGATGAAGCTGTGCTTCATGTTGATTTTCCTAAAGGGGAGGAGGGATGCAGTGTCTGCTAAACGCGTCGCATAAAACGGGAGTTACGTCGCAGTTGTGTGAGCTGCTCGCAGCCTGCAGCAGCATGCTTGAGTTCCTCGTGTTATACAGCACGTAAACGCTGCAGTGGAAGGGTCTGGGAGGGGAAAAAAGGGTTCAGGAACAGGCTGTAATTCCTGCTGTCCTCAGAGCGTTCTGAGGAGGAGGTGTGGATGATGTGCATGGAGCTGTTCTGCTTCCCGAATGCAAACCTGCCGGAGCGACAGGGCTGTGCAGGGATCTGAGGCTGGAATGAGAAGTGATGAAGTGTGTGTAGTTACAGCAGCGTGTAGCCTTGTGGCTGCAGCCTCGGCTTTGGCTGTTGGAAAACCACTGTGTGTGTGATGGAGAGGCGTAAAGTGGGGGCTGCAGTCTGCCTTTATGTCTTCCTTACCTTTCCTCTCTCAGAGCCTCAAGTTTGGCTACCAGGATGTGCTTCTTTTCCAGCTTGATGTGCCACTGCTTGGACACCGAGGCAGCTCCTCCCACCTCTACTTCTGCGGGGTCAATGGGAATGCTGAGGGTCCCATCCACTCCATCTTTGATGCTTCCCATGGTTGTGAACTCCCAGGGGCTGTGGCTGGCAGTGCTGGCAAGGAGGGACTCTGCAACGATGCGCTGTGTTACTGCAGGTGTGCTTACAGGTGTGATGGGCTCTGAGAGAAAGTAGGGTGGTGCAGGATGATAAACGTGGGCTTTACCAACGCTGTCCTTCTCCTCTCCAGGCAGCAGCACGTCGTGGAGCCGGAATTCTGTCCGTCTGTAGGAGGGAAAGGGGTGGAATCTGGCTTTCCTTTTCCTTCGAACCAGGCAAAGCAGCCTGAAGTGGTCTTGGTCTGAGATGCTGTGGACAGGAACCAGCTCTCCTTTGGGATCCATTTGCTTTGCTACTTTTTGGGTCACTTTTTTAAACATTCCACGGCAGCTTTATGAATTCTCAACCCAAGGTGAGAAGCGCAGCTCCTTAGGAAAGAAGAGAAGCAAAATGAGTTGGGATACAAATAGAAGGTTACAATAAAATATCTTACTTCTAATTTTTGAGGATTATAAACCCTCCCAAAGAATACAAGAACACAACTTGCATGAGATGAGATGACTTTCAAAAGGCACATGGAGAGGTGCTGATAGCATCTGTGCCTTGCTAATTAGCCTTACTCAGGCTCGTCCCCATTTGCTGTGCAGCCTGGGTTGGGCTGAGAGCACAGCTGGCTGTTTGGGGATGGAGCTTTGCTGTTGGAGCCCATGGCTGCTCCTCCATTATTCGTTCCACGTACCATCATACAGCACAGCAACCTGAGCTGGGCATGGCTATTTAACCTCTGTACCACCTGCTGGGGTCCCCAGTGCTGTAATTAATGCATTGCTCTTATAGAGGCTTAAAGAAAGCAAATCTTGAGCAATTTCTTGCTGTTCTGGAGTTTTGCTTTGTATGCTCTGCGTTTCCCCCCTGTGTTGGTGCCCGGCAGAGCTCTGTTGTTTCAAAACACAATGTTGGAAAAACAATTTGGTCAAAGTCTGAAAGGAAGTGAAAGTGTTGAAGGTGATGGGATGAGGAAGGAGAAGCGCTCGTTGTTTGCCAGAATGTTCCTCAGCACTTTGGGTGTTTCTCATGGATCGGCACCGACCCCAGAGCCCAACATCCCCGCTGCTCTCCTGCATCCCTGTTGGGAGAGCTGGAAATGGAAGCTGCTGGCAGGTTCTTCGTTCTGTGAGCAGAACTTTGGTTTGATTTGATTCTTTACGAGCTTTGATTTACGTTCAATGGAGCTTTGATTTACGAGCAAAACAGCTTCCTGGAGTTAAGGAGAAAAACGTGTTGTGTTATCACATCTGTGCACTGCTTTATTGTGTCCCATTCAACAGTTTGCTCTCCTCCCCTCCCAGCAGGGACTGTCATGTCCAGGAGGGCGACCAGAGTCACAAATCCTCTCCGTCCCATGAAGGACCCTCAGATCCAGGCTCAGCCATAAGCAAAGCACAGCAATTCTCATTGAAACTGACTTTAAAAGTGCAGGCACTCTTAAAGTTATATCTGTAGTTTTATCTGTCGGGGCTGTGAGGATAAACCCTGTGACTTTATAGGAAGTTGCTTAACTTTATGAGGAGAAAGAAAGACAAAAGGGGGGGGAGGGAGAGGGGGGAGAGGAGCGGGTGGAGAGAGGGACGTGGGTCTGCACTGCAGCTCTGATCCAGGTAATGGGGGCTTTTGGGCTGTGCAAGCTCATCCTTAAGTTTCAAAGTTCTGAAGTCCCGAGAGGAGCTGGGGGGGGACTTTGGACCGTGGGAGAGAAGCGTGGGGCGGCAGGACGGGGCAGCCCTCCCCCCATCCATGGGGCAGCTCTTACCTGGAGCCCGTGGGGGTCTGTGGGGGTCTGTGCTGTGGGAGGGGGGCTGGCTGGTTGTGATGCCTGCAGTGCCTGCAGTGCTTGCTGTCCTTGCTGTGTGAGCCTCCTGCCAGCCCGGAACTGACTGCCCTATAAGGAAGGAAGCACTGATGTAACCCCAACCCAGCAGCTTTCTCGCTGTCACTTCTGCTGTCGTGCTGTTCCAGCAGCTGTGGGCACCTTTTCCTAGGCTGGAGGACTTTGCTGCTGTTGTGGTTTTGCTCCCTGCCTGGCAGGGTGAGGAGCAGCGTGCTCTGGTTAAGGTAGAACATTGGGTTGTGGTTGGGTTTGATGACCTTGGAGGTCAGGGTTTTCAGTTTTTCCAACCTGAGCGATTCTATGATTCTAAAGCAGAAGTGCAGTTGTGGTGTGGGTGGGGGACAGCAGTGCTGCACTGCTGGTTACCTGCACTGAGTGATGCTTTGCTGGCGCTGTGCTGGATGCATGGGGTTGGTGAGGGGGGGTTTGAGGGGGGTCTGAGCGGTGCTGATCGATATCTGAAGGATGGGGGGCTGGGGCTGGGCTGTGCTCAGCAGTGCCCAGCAATGGGATGAGGGCAGTGGGCAGAGATTGCAGCTCAGGGCTCCCCATCCACACATAAAGGGACAGAGATTGGAACAGCTGCCAGAAAGGTGAGGAGGGGGAGCAGGAGCTGCTGTGGGGGGATTTGGACCCTTCTGACCCTACAGCTGTGTGAGGTTCCAGCTCAGCTCTGCCTGGTGGGCCTGCAGTCAGTGCACATCAGTGAGCAGAAGTGCCCACGTGAGAATCCGAGGAGCTGAACACGAGTTTTTACATGAATACTCACTTTATTAGTTTCTCTTAGAACGCTGTACAAAGGAGTAATAAAAATATTCACACTTTGTTTTAGAAAGTTCTCTACACGAGACTTCGGTATCCACAGCAAAAAGAAGGGCTGCTGGAAAAAACCAAACCAAAACCAAACCCTAAAACTATGTACAATGTCAGGATGTTCTCTTAAGAAAAAAAAAAAACAACCCAAAACTAATTTAGCTTAAACTGATCCAAGGAGGACACATCAATGCAAAGACCTGCATGCTTAAAAAGTCTGATGTGCAATGATGGAGCCATGGGAATCCCAGTAAGAAATATTAATGCATTAATAATGGTAACCCAACTGCTGTCCCCTTCTCAAGGGCCAGTACCAACTTTCTATTAAAACAAACAGAAAAATACAATTAAAAAAGACCTCGAGATCAAGTAGCCCTAAATCTCAGGGGTTTTATTTGTTTCTTTTAAAGGCTTTTTGTTTTTCCTGCAATGGTTTGGAGTGTGAGAAATCCCACTGGAACTGCAGGTAGGAGCCCTGACTGATGGAGCAGCAGTGCCTGATTGCCTCCTGCTGTCCCCAGGGCTGGATGTGTGCATGCTTGAGGTGTGGTGCTCATCTGAAGCTGTTCTGCATTTATTGCAGGACAGAAGGAAAACCCCAAAGGATTTCAGTACCTGCAGTCCCACCAGGGAGTCCTCCTTTATTCTGCAGCTGAGGTTTGCAGCACAGAGGCAGCACAGGTTGGAGAGGAGGATCAAAACCCCGTTTAAAATCGCTGAGCAGCAGTGATTTCCTGCACACCTCTGTCGGTCAGAGCAGCTGCTGTGCACTGAGCTCACTTCTGGAAGAACTTAACAAGCAGAAATAGAGCAGAAGTGGCTTCAGTGCAGCTGCAGGAGGCCCAGGGTGGTGCTGTGCTCCCACAGCCCTGCAGCACAGACCCTTAACCAGAGCCCCCCTGGGACAGCAGTGCTGGGAGGACCCAGGCACAGACCGTGAGTGGGGTTTGCCCAGCAGGACCCAATGCTGTTCTTTAAGGTTCCTTTCCTATTTTTAGTTCTGATACCTCCGCTTAGGGTGGGATCTGAGGGAAGACAGGAGATCAGTAATTGCTCAGTTAGCCATTCATCTGATGAAGCCACTTTATGCACTGTATCATCAACACAAAATCCTTCAACCCTATGTTTCTCCAGTTTTAATTAATATTCCTTTTGATTGGATGAACTGCAGAAGTCCAAGTTAAGATACTGCACAGCCAAAATGCTCTACGTGCCTGGTGAAGAATGTCATCTGCCTCGCAACCCCAAATGAGGACAGCTGTGTAATTGCTATCTTAATCATTCCAGTTAAATAAAATGGGAAAAGTTTACTATTCTAATTAAGGCTTTGCCCCACGAGGAGCTCTGGACTCTGGGCTTGAAAACCTGCCTTTTCCAGAAGTCTGTAATTCCATTCTATATTGTTTTATTGATGGTCTTTCATTGAACAGAACAGAATCGGATTCCATCGTGTCAGTTAACAGCACAAATGGGTGCTGCAGTCCCCAGCAGTGACACTGTGATGGAGCTGAGCCCCAAAGCATCACAACTGCTCTGACCTGGAATAACTCACACACACCCAGAGACAGCCAGTAGATGCCCTATGGGTGGGAGTCATGCTTTTAAGCCAAAGCACCCTTGGTATAACAGCGACTTTTGCTGCATAAAAGCTTACATTTTTCCCCTTTACATTGTGCCTAAAGCAGTAGTGGTTTTTCTCCTGGAGGTTTACCACTGGGATCTGGGTTCGTGTGCTGCCCTGTTAGAAGCAGCTGCTGCAGCACTGTGTCCATGAGCATCCCAGGCCCTGGTGCTGTTCATTCCTTCCTAATTTCCAAAGTACTGATTGACAAAATCGTTCTATTATGAAAAAAAAAAGAAGTATTTTCTTCCCCCATTGTCTGGTAGCTTACAGAGCACATCAGCCTTAGGGTCTCTAGTACCTGAACTAAAGCAGCAGTCCTCATGTCAGGGTGGTTTAACCCCCACCCACTCAGGTAACCACCCCTCTGCCAAGCTCTCACTGGAGATCAGCACTCAAATTCCAACCCTTCTTCCACCTTCCTTTCCACTTAAGACATTTCCACTGTTCAAACCTAGTAGGTGATGACCTATGCATCCCAGCAAGGCTCTGAGCAATGTCAGCTGTTTTCTCCCTTCGCTGCAGCAGCCTGGTGAGTATGGGACAGAAGTGAAGCCTAATGTTATGCATGGAGTAGTACTAGATCTTACACAGTCGGTCTTGGAGCTCCTCTGTGCCCTGTGCTCAGACCCTCAAGCAGAACTCAGTATCCACTCTGACTTCTCAAGTTAGACTTGGCTAATTAAGAACAAAGCCAGCATATTTAAAACGCCTTTACCATTGCCTGTGTAACAAACGTAAGCACTAAGACAACAAAAAATGCAGGTTTCTGTAAGGGAAAGCATGAGCAAAACCACGTTTCACCCGGCAGCTTGCAAGAAAAACCAACTGCTCTGAACAGCAGAAAGGCATCTTGGCCATGAAAGCAAACCTGCAGCCCTCCTGCCTTCCAGCCGTGGTTGGAGGGGGACGAAGGCTTGATTTTATTCCTATACAAAACCATCTGTTGTCTTTGGTGACACAAAGACCCTTCTCTCGGTCAGGTCAGTGTGCTGCTGGTGCTGCTGGTGCTGCTCCTCAGCGCCGCTCTGCTCCCTCCCCACTGGCAGGGCTCAGCCCTGGGGGCTGCAGCGCTTTGATGCTGAGTTCATTGGAGAAGTGGCAGATCTCATTAACGGCTGCGTGGGCTGAGGAGACCGAGGGGGTGGATGGAGGGGGAGAACTCAACTCGCTGCCACCGATCTTAAAGCAGCCACCCGGCTCTCGCACGCTCTGCACCCGTCAGTCTTTGGTTCCTGCCAGGCTGGTGCATCTCCGTGTGCCAGCAGCTCAGGGCGTCTGCAGTCCATCATTCCAGTGAGCTGCACCTCAGTCCTTCGTCCAAACGCTGCCTGAGTGCTTGAAAAGTTGAGAGGTTTGGGATGGGAAGCAAAGTTATCCAGGCTGGAAGCGACAGCTGTGAGTTGGGACCTTTTCCCTGGACCGGATGGATGGTTCCACAGAAGCACAGAGCTGTCCCAGAGTGCAGGTCGTTTCTTTTTTCCTGTGCTGCTTTTAGTAGAACTTCCTTTCCCAGTGGCGTAAAAGATTCCAAAATAAAAACCTCTCGTTCTGCTCCCCTCCCTCTCTTCCTCTGCCCAAGAAGTGGAAATAAAACCTGAAACCATCAGATATTGGGAGAGTTTGGCTGCGTCCCTTTCGATTTCCCCGCGTATCGCTTCAAAGCACCAAAGCCTCAGAAAGGGAAATAATGTTAAAGTGCATTTACCACAGCAATAGTACCAGCACTAAAAGCTTTTCCCCTCACCCCTGTTCTCATCGCACCTGGGATGGATGAAAACCTTCCCACAACTCATCCTCTCTGTACCTCGGAGTCTCGGTGTATCTGCATCTATTTATGACGCTGGAATAAAAGAAGTCCAGCATCCTGCTCCTCACTAAACTCTACTCTGGAGCTTCTTTAGATTTATTGGGCGCGAGGATCCAGCATGCAGTGTATGTCTATTGGGTACTGCGTTTAAACAGCTGCTGTGAAACTATCCCAGCGTGGGCAGGGGGGAATGGGAGATGGAGGAGGAACCTCCCCGAGCTCCGCCGCTCCTCCATCTGCACACTTCAGTACTTGTTGATCCCAAAGATCCGGACTCCGTGGAACTGAGGCAGTTTGGGGATCAGGACGCTCATCAGGGAGATGGTGTTGATGACGAAATGTATCCGGTCGTACTTGGTGTAAAAGCTGGTTAGAAAATACCTGCAGAGAAGGGGGAACAAAAAGAGACAGCGAATGAAACCGCTCCGTGTGCTCTGCTTCCCCTGCGCTCTGCTCCCCCCGGCACTCACAGCACGATGGGCATGATGGTCAGGAACTTGCGGGATGCTGTGAACTGCACACCGTAATCCATCTGCTCCCAGTGCGTCAGCAGCCGTGCCTTGCCCTGGTCTGGCGTCTCAAAAGGGGTTCCTTTCACGGTGTGCAGGAAGATGTACATGCTCTGCAGCGAACACAAACGCAGCGTGAGATGTGCGCGGTGCTCCGGACCCACCAGCAATGGCTCAGCTTCAGCCAGAGCAGCAGAGCGGTGAGGGGCCGTGCGGAGGCTTGCAGCAGCACTTTGCTCCGCTAGAGGGATGCATCACCATCACTGCCAACCCAAAGCAGCCCTGGGGGGAAAGCTGCGAGTTGGGCCAGCTCTGCTAAGAGCAACACCTCTCCCTCTGCTCCTGTGCATAAGGAAAGGGAGCTGCGAGATTACAGCACTTGGATCTCTGGGATCAGGAGATCAGCACTGTGCAACAGCAATGCTAAATGCTGGCTAAAAGAAGTGCTGCTGGAGCTGCAGGCGGAACGGAGCTGTTATTGTCTTACAGGTAAGCAGTGTTAGGCTCAGCTCTGTCTTTTACGCTCAGCCCTCGCTGCCCTCAACTCCCCTCTGTTCCCAAGATCAGAGGAAAGCAGGGCAAGGAGCTGGGCGAAATGCAGGCAGCTGTGCTGCACTCAGCCCCCAGCAGTTGGAGCTCTGGGTTTATTTGTTGGTGTGTTTCTGTACTTTTATCCCACAGGAGATAAGACGGGCAATCCCAAGGGTTTGTTCGCCGCCGGCGTGCTCTCAGGATGAGGTGTTGACATAAAGGACACAAACTTGGTGGCCGCAGCTCCGAAGTATTTTGCCTCTTTGACCTGGGGGCGGCTTACCATGTTGTGAATGATGTTGGTAAGAGTCCAAACCACGGGGACGCTGAAGAAGGGGATGCTGAGGAGCACGACGTGCAGCAGGCCGATGCCAAGGACGTAGGACAGCCAGATGCCCCGGCTGTTCATCACACGGGTGTTGGGGTTCACCTCGCTGTGCGCCGTTCCCACGTTCATGCTGGCTCCTGTTTTCACCCCTCTGAAACACAACCAGAGGCAGGTCAGTGCTCAGGTCACTGCTTTCATCCACGTTTCTCAGCTAAGCTTACTGGGAAGCTGAGAGCTGTCCTACCAGCTATCAGGGATTACAGGAAAGAACGCAACTTAGAGCCACTGTAGTGCAGAACATCTTTACACGGAGATCAGGGAAGGTCTTGCATAAAATACTCACTCTGTTTCCCAAGGAAATAATACAGCCTGTCCCTTGCACAGCAGACCCCAAAGCGATGACTTTTCCCTGATGTTTAGCCTCGTGCTTTTGCTGCTTTGGTTTCCACAGCTGAAAACCAACCCAAGCTGCTGTTCTGTCCAGCTCTCAGTCCCAGGAGGCGAGCCCACGCCAGACCTGACATTATGCTCTGGATGCTGCTGCCAGCTACTCCGAGTTCCCTTTCTGAGTGCTGGGCCTGGCTTGTTTCAGCAGCTGCTGTGCTCTGAGCCTGCCTGGTGCTCACTCACACAGCATGTGAGCAGCCCTGGGACACTCACTGCGAGCTGATGGATGCTCCCATAGCCCTACTGCCACTCAGGGAGCTTTAGGTCTGGAAAAGGTTTTTGTTTAGCAGAAAAGAGCCTCCGGATCTGCACATTGCTGGGTCAGTGGCTGTCAGCTCTGGGGTATTCTGGACAAAGCAGCCTGGTGTGGGGACAGGACTGGAGCTGGAGGTCAGTGCTGGGACAGCAGCTCCATCCCCAATGTGGCACAGCCCCTAATGGCTCTCAGAAGGAAACCTGGGGGTTGTGCTGGAGTATAACGCGAGCTGAAGATGTCACACTTGGGGGGAAAGAAGGAAAAAAAAAAGGGAAGGAAGGAAGAAAAGCAACTACTGCTGTGGAATGTGTAAACAGGAGTGCTGCTTGCCAGACAGGAGAAATAATCCTCCCAGATATTGGTGAGGCCTCAGCTGGAGTGCTGTCCAGTTCTGGGAGGAGCTGGAGGGAGTCCAGGGCAGAGCTGTGAGAATGAGCAGAGGTGTAGGAAAAACCTGACCTGCAAGGCCACGCTGCAGGAAATGGGTTTGTTTAGTCTAGAGGACACTCAAAAAAGAGGAGATGAATGGACCCCAAACGCTTACAGGATCTCTGCAGGGAGAATGGGGACCGAAGTGAAGTGTAGAGGTTCAGAGCGATGCAGTAACACAGAAAGCTGATGTGGGATAAAGTGCAGTTCCTGTCTGGGATCAACCAGGGCTCTAATGGCACTACAAACTAATGAGCAGCTGCCCTGTGCTGCTGCCTGCCAGGCAGGGCAGCGGGGTGGCAAAGGGCGAAGCTCAGAAGCTGAATGTGAAGCAATTCTCCTCTGCCTCACTTTCCTCACTTGTTGCAGTGATTGGGGTGAAGCTCTCACTGATACAGCACAGCAGGTTAATTTGTTCTTGCAAAGACAGCAGTGGGGAGGGCAAGCATTAGGCCGTGTGACAACAGCGCGTGCTTTTCCAGTTCGGCCTTCCCCACCTTAAAAACCTTTCCTTGGTGAATCTTTTTCCATTTCTGGACTGTTTTCACAGCCCTGGCCTGAGCTCTTTGCTCACTTCAGATTGCACACAGAGCTTTGCACGTTATTGCAAAAGCCTGGCTGGGAGCAAACACAGCTCCCTGCCCCCAGCCCAGATCCTTCTTGTTTGCTGTCTGATTTTACACTGGGGATTTGTTCACCTGCAGAAAAAAAAAAAAACAAAAAAACCCAAAGCAAAGCACAAAAGCAGGAGGGGCTCCAGATCCACAGCTCTGAGCTGCGCGGCGTTGGGTCCTGGCAGGGTGACGTTTCCCCAGGCTGAGGGTGAAGGTCGGCGCTGCGCTGACGTCGGGCAGAGGCTGTCCAAGGAGGGGAGAAGTGCTGAGCACAGCTGGACGTGAGCAGAGCACTGCGATGGAGGCCTTTCCTCACTGCCCAGATTGCCACAACACTGCGGGTCCCAACGCTGCTCTGCCCCGAACCTCACAGCGATGCCCTGCAGGGCCGTTTCACCCCTCCGTGCTGAGCGAGGCACAACTGACAGCAGCACTTCACACTCACCTCGTTGTCTATCGGCACGCCCCGCGGCCCCCATTCAGCAGCCCATGCGTTCCTCGCCTCCTGCTTTGCTCCCAGAGGAGCGTCCCCACCTCCTGCCCCGTTCTGCCACCCAACAAACGCATCAGCCCCGCCGCTGTGCTGGCTCTCTGCCCGGCAGCTCCTGCGCAGCGTTTTATCGGAGGGCTGCAGGGGTGGGGAGGGCAGCAGGCGCTTATCTCGGTCGATCTGCGCGTTCCCAGCACGCAGGAGATTACGATCCGACGGACGGAGCCGAGATCCCTATCTCTGGCAGCAGCAGCAATCCCCGTCTCCCGAGCGAATGAATATTTTAAACCCTTCTTTGCAAGACGGCAAGGCCGTTCGAGCCGGAGGACGGAGCGCCTCGGAGACGGCAGCGAACACGGGGGGGTCGGACGGCAGCACCGCTCCGCGCCCCGCAAAGCTGCGCGACGTCGGACCGGGAAACTCCGCACACAAAGGAAGCGCTACAAGTGAGCGCTGCGGGGAGGCGGGCGGCGAATCCCGGAGCTGCAGACAAAGCCCTGGCCTCATCCCAACAGCGGCACGGCACGGCACGGCTCGGGGACAGGAGGGGAGGGGACGGGAAAGGAAGGGAGGGGAGGGCCCGCTGCCCCGCAGCGCTCACCGAGCCCCGCTCCCACCGCTCTGCTCGGTTCCCCCCGACTCCCATCCCCGCCGGCCCCGGAGCGCGGAGCTCCACCGCGTGCCCCGCACGGCCGGCCCGTCCCGCACTCGGCCCGCACTCACCGTCCGGCCCGGCTCCTTCAGCCCCGGCTCGGCCCGGGATCTCCGCCGCGCTCCCGGCGGACACCTCGGCACGGCACGGCACGGCCCGCCCCGCCGCCCGGCACCACGGGAGCTGTAGTGCGGCAGCGCCGTGCGGGGGGGCGGTGCGGGAGCGGAGCTGTGCGGGGCAGCGCTGCGCCGTGACGGCACGGCGGGGCGGCTGAGGGATCCTCCTGCCCTTCTGCCCTTCTGCCCTTTGGGGTCGGTGCTGCGGGCTGTGTGCGCGGTGCTCTGGTCTTGGTTGATGGGTCCCCACCGCTTTGTTGTTGGTTTTTTTTTTTTGCCCTAATTAACGCCCCGTGATGGGTAAAGCGCCCCAGGTGTTTCATTCGCGTGCATCGTGTGGGAAATAAAGTTAATTTGCCAGAAAAGAAAGTGCTCCAGAGTTCTACTGAGCAGCTCAGTGCGCAGCTACTGAACGCAGTGCGTTGTGCACCTGCTTGCTGACCAGCTTCGGCTATTGGGATTTATTGGAATATTGTATGGGAATATTGGGATATTGGCTTTAGCTGCTGGGATTTCAGCTCCCCTGCAGAAGTGGTTTCGTGCACTGAGGGAAGCGGGCATCTCAGTCCCTGCAGCCCTGCAATCAGTGGCTCTGTACTCAGTGACCCCAGCCCTGCAGCTCCATGCATGCACTGCACCATGCGTGGCTGAGAGCTGTGGGTGCAGTGCTGCAGTGCTGGGTACCATCTGTCCCGGCCTTTGTCAGTGCAGCCATCGCTGCTCAGCACGTGCACCCCCGGTGTGCAGCCATCTGTGCAGGCTTTGTGCATGCTGAGCTCCTGCTGGGGAGCAGCAGAGGGTGCAGCACAGCCGAGCTGCTCGGTGGGGTGTTGTTTGGGCAGCTTTGGGGTTGCTCGATGCTGAAGGCCCCCCCCTCCCCAGTGCTGAGCACCTCGTGTGTGCCCTCGTGGGCCAGAGGATGGATCCGCTGCAGCGCTGCTGCTGGATGGGACCGAAACAGTCTGAGCATCACACACCAGCATTGTGCTGCTAACTGAGCACGGCTCTGCCTTCCCACAGCCAGTGTTTCCCCTGCCAGCTGCTCCTGGAGGGCCTCGGGCATGGGGGGACCTGGCAGGAAAACCCACCCTCAGCCTCCCGGTGCTGCAGGGATGCTGTAGCGGAGGCGGGATCCCGCGGGAGCAGCCCTGCTTTGCAGGGGAGCCACGCACACGGCAGCTCTATTTTTATCCCCACTCCTGCCTGACTGAGCAGCTCCCTCTGCGCGGTGACATCTAATTTAGCAGCTTCCCCACACCCCGCTGACTCTGCACGTGAGGGGGAAGCACAATGCGGCGGCTATTTTTAAACGCCCATAAATATTAATCCTGCTCGGTGATGCGGCAGCAGCCTCTCTCACTGCCGGTGGGAGTGCAGGGGGGGCACCTTGGGCTCCCCAGCCCGCATTCACCCCCACAGGGAACCCCGGTGTTTGGGGGTGGAGTGGTCCTTGGGGGGGATTCGGGCCCACACCCACAGCCCAGCCCGATGCTGGGAGCAGTCCCTGTGTGGTGGGGTCCACGTTCCCTTCTGTTTGCTGGCCCCACTGCCGGCTCGATGCTGGCTCTGTGTAGTGGCAGGGAGGAGCTGCTGCTGGCTGATTTTAGCCAGCCGTGCCGCTGCAGCAGTGGGAAGGGGTCTGCACAGGGCTGTGCTGCACTGCGGCCTTGAGATTTTGGGTTCTACGTGGTGTGGGAAGGCTGGAGAGCCGGTGGCACCGCCGCTGGGGAGATCGGAGCTTCTCCAGCCGAACAGGGAGAAATGACTGGGCTCAAGCTCAGGGAGCAGCCAGCGGTTCCCCAGTTTCAGTCCCTCAGGACAGGCCCAGCCCCATCGCAGCACAGCGTGGGGCTCTGCTCCATTTGCAGCCCCAGCGGTGGGGACACCGTTCTCCCTCCTGCCAGCGCCGGATGGGAGCGAAGCCACGCGATGTGCGCCGACCTCTGCACCCGCAGCCCCGCCTGACGGCACCGCACCGGGCCTGGCTCCAGCCGTGCTGCACTCGGGGCGGCTGCCGTCAGGTTGTGTTCTGCTAATGGGGCCGAGACGCAGGCCAGGCGCCTCGTAAACCGTTTATCCTCCCCGAGCAGCGGGAGATGATCAGCGCACGGTCTCTCCAAGGAGATCCGCGGATGGGGCGCGGGCGGCCGCCGGCGTCCTTGTTGGCAGCACGGCAAGGGCACGGCCCTCGGCCCCGCGGCTCCGGCGCCCGGTGACCCGTAGGGACGAGCCCCGGTGCCGGCTGCCTGCTGGGGGCGGCCCCGGCCCGGAGCACCGGAGCCCGGTAACGGCGCCGCTCTCCATGGTCCTGAGCCGGCCCCGGTGCCGGTCCCCGCGCGGCACATCGAGCCCCGGGCAGGGCGGCTCGCGGCAGGGCTGGGGGCCCGCACCGGTACCCGCAGGGCTCCGCCCGCCTCGCCGCCCGCCGCGGCTCGGGTTTCCCCAAGTAAGCGATGCCGGTGCCGACGGAAGGCGGCGGCAGGAGGGGGGTCACGCTCCTTGGCGGAGAGGGGAAAACCGGGGGCGATCCCGTTCTCCCTGGGGCGGGGGGCAGCGAGGGCAGCTGCGGAGAGAGGCGAGAGGGCAGAGCCCGGCTCCGGGCAGCGCCAGTCAGCGCCATTCCCACACGGGGTTCCGGGGATCCCGGAGACTCCGTTGTTTGTGGCCTCCCCGAGCCCCGAGCTTGGGGGTCCCGGACGCTCCAGGCGGGGTTCTCCCCGTGTCCCCCCAGGAAGGAGTCCCGCGTCTCAGCCTCGACCCGAACCGGGCGTGGAGAGGAACCGGGGGCGAGGCGGGGGTGCCAGGAGCCGTGCAGCCCCCCCCCGGCGGGGCGGGCCGGGGGCGGGGAGCCCCGGGGAGGCCCGGCCGGTGAAGCCCGCCCACCGGCCCCGCCGCCGCCGCCGCCGGCTCCGGGCCCGCCGCGCTGCGCGGGGCGCGGCCGCTCCGGCCCGGGGCGCGGGGCCGCTCCGTCGCCGCGGGGTGCGCACGGCAGGTGAGTCCGCACCGGGACCCCGCACCCAGGTGCTCCCCGCCACTCTCCGGCTTCGGGAGGGGCAGGGCGGGAGGCGGCGGGCGGGGTCGGGGGGGGGGGGTCCCCGGCAGCGCCGCGCCGAGCTTCCCCAGGGGAATTACCGGGGCTTCCCTCGCCTGCAACGCCCCCGATGCCGAGTGCAGCCGGAGCTGGAGCGGGGCCGGGGGGAACCCCGGGCATCCCCGGCTCCGGCTGCTCTGGGCTCACGGCGGCTTCGGCTCGCACAGCCCCGACGCGGGCAGCCCCGACCCCTCCGCTGCCGTCCCCGGGATCCCCGCGGTTGGGCAGGAGCTGCCCTCGGTGCCGTGCGTGGTCCGGAGTGCCGCAGCCGGAGCCCCCTGACCTCCCCCGTGGGATCTTCGAGAGCCGCATCCCGCCCGCGGGGGTTCCCCAGCGCCCGGCTCCTGCGGACGGGGCTCCCCCCTTCCCTGATCGGCGATCCCGGCTCATTTGGATCCGTTTCAGCCGTTCCCAGCCCCGGGCTCAACCCCCGGGTTACTTCTGACAGCCCTGGGGGGACGGTTCCCCGTCCGTGCGGCGGTGCCGGTGCGGGGCTGGCGCTGCCGTTGCCCTCCGTCTGCTCTGAGCTCTGCTCCCCGCGCGGAGACGCCTGCAGTGGGCTTCTCGGGGTCGGTTCTGTGCGGGCGCGACCTTGGGGCGTCTTGGTGCAGCTGCACCGAGTTACTGCACCGAGCAGCGAGCAGAGAGAGCTGTGTCCGTGCCTCATCCCAGGCCTGGCAGCCTCCCCCCACAGCCCCAACAGCACCCCGGGGGGGCTGCGGACCCCAGCCCTTAAGAGTCGCTTCCACAGGTGGGGAGAAGGACATGGGACATCTGCACCCCGGGGGCTGCCTGTGCTGGGCAGCACTGCGCAGGGCTGTCACAGCAGAGCTCTGCTGCCAGGCTGCCCTTTCATGCCACTGTCACTGACTGTAGGATGCTCACAAGGTTGTTGCATCCTGCCTTGATCGTGCTGCGTGGTGGGACCTGTGGAGAGGAAAGCTGAGCAGCTCATGCCCTCAGAAATGGCCTTATCTGCTGCCACCACCCTGGGAACTTGCTAAGCACTCAGCTCCTGTGAATTTCCTTTTTCTGTTTTTTGTTTCTTTCCTGCTGACGTTTTTCCCCTCCGGAATAAAGGGCTGGATGGGGACCATGGTTACAGGGTGGTGTGGGCAGCCGGCCCTGGGGCCGTTGTGGCACCGTGCAGGGGACAGCACAGCCACCCGCCTGCGCCAGCGCCCTCGAATCAAACACCCCATAGAGAACGTGGCACGTGCCCACATCCGCCCTGGCAGCGCTGGGAAGCGGAGCCCCTGAGCCAGCAGCCAGCCTCCATCGGCCCCGCGCTGCTGGGGAACCTGCTGGCTGCCGGCGCTCCCCTGGGCCCTGCCTGCAGCTCGCCCGGAGCTCTGCAGGATGCGCTGGCTTCAGGCAGCTCGCACTGCCGGTGACCTTGGCGGGGATCTCACCCCCGCCTCCGGCTCAGCCCGAGCCGTGGCCGTTTGTTACAGCCCAGCTGCTGCACAGGAGACGTGCGGTGGCTCAGCCCCTCGGGAACTAATCCCGCTGCGCAGGAGCCCCGTGCGCTGCCGCTGGTGGTGTGGGGACCGGCGAGCCGTGCTGCTCGCCCCCGTCCCCGTCCCGCAGTTTGGAGCAGCGGGTGGACGCGGTGCCCCTGGGCGCCTCAGCCTGACGCTGTCCCTTTGGTGTCTCCGTCCCAGATGCGCCTCCTTCAGCCCAAAGCACTGCTGGTGAGAGCTGAGGGGCCGGTGGCTGCGTGACGGAGCCGGTGCGGCACCGTGTCAGCGACAGAAGCCCTCCGTCCTGCGCCCCACAGCCATGTGGCTGCTCGTGCAGGGCGTCCTGCTGGCATCCTGCCTGCGCGCCGCCGCCTTCCCCAGGGGCTGCTACCCCTCGGAGGAGGAGGGGCTGAAGACCTTCCGCTGCAGCAACGCGCGGCTGACCGAGGTCCCCAAAGACATTCCCAACGACACCAACAAACTCTACCTGGACTCCAATCGCATCCCCTTCCTGCCCCGCGACGCCTTCCGAGATCTGCCACTGCTGCTGGAGCTGGATCTGTCCCACAACGCCATCGCCGCCGTCGAGAGCGGGGCGTTCCGCGGGCTGGCCGACCACCTGCGCTCTCTGGACCTGTCCTCCAACAGGCTGGTGTCGCTCAGCAAGGACGTCCTCAGCAACATGAAGGCCAAGGTGAACCTCTCCAACAACCCCTGGCTGTGCGACTGCCGGCTGCAGGAGCTGATCCGCGCCGTGGATCTGACGGCCGGTTCCTCCGCCGGCATCGTCTGCGACTCCGCGCCGCAGGAGGAGCACGTGGGCAAAGCCTTCCTGCAGGTGATCGCCGACACGGACTTCTGCAACGTGTACAAAAAGACGACGGACATTGCCATGCTGGTCACCATGTTCGGCTGGTTCGCCATGGTGATCTCCTACCTGGTGTACTACGTGCGGCAGAACCAGGAGGACGCGCGGCGGCACTTGGAGTACCTCAAATCGCTGCCCAGCAAGCAGCGGCACTCGGAGGAGTCGTCCACCATCAGCACCGTGGTGTGAGCAGGGCTGGGGGAGGTGGGACGTCGTTGTGGCATTCCTGGGGACACGGCCGTGGTGGGGAGCGATGGTCGGTTCTCAATTAGTGGTTACTGGCAACGGGCGCAGAGTGAGAGGGGAGAACTGAGCGTGCCCCCACCACGTGGCACCGCTCCGGACGCTGGGACTTGGTGTGAAACTGTTTGATTTTTTTGCAGCCATCCCCGGGGCATTAACGACGTTGGTGTTATAATCCCTCTGGTTTACCCTCTGCTGCCCTGGGGATTGTTCCTGGAGCTGCAGGGCAGGGGGGGATGCGGGCTGTGGGCTGCAGCTCTATGGGACGAGTGGATGGGATGGAGGGACGCCGTGGTGGGGAATGGCCTGAGCTCCCATTTCCTGAGCTGCAGCTGCCACCCCATCGCTGCCCTCACCTGGAGATGGGCAGCAGGGGTGAAGTGGGGATCTCCCCCTCTGAGTGTTACGGTGAAAATGGGATCAGAGCCCTCGGGCTGTGCTCTGCACTGAGGGCGGTGGGTGCTGATGGGGGTCCGAGGACACACGGGGTCGGTGCTTTGGGTCAGTGCACCCCACTGCAGCTCCACTCCCTCTCAAGGACTCACGGCTGCGACCGCTCACTGTGACAGCGCTGGGATGGGGCCGAGGCCGCTGCTCCTCCACCTCCTCCCACTCCCTGCACCGCTGCCAGGAGCCCGAAAGTCCCCTCGGCCCCACATGTCCCTTTCTGACACTCTCCATTGGGCTCCTGGGGTCGGCATCAGGGATGGGGCACGCAGGGTCCACACGGAGCCTTGGGGTGAAGGCAGTTCACACCTGCCCCTCCGGCTCCTGCCTCTGGTTTTGTCCTTTTTTAAACCAACTGAAGCTCAACTGCCTTAACTCACCGAAAGCACCAACCAAAGCTGCTCCAACACCTCCGGCAGCACCTGCCCTGCACATCTGGGGCCGGCACGGCTCGGGCCCCCTCCATCATCCAGTGCCCGGTGCCTATGGATGGGGCTGTGGGGAGTGGTGCCCGTGCCCTCCACAAGTGCCTACACCCCCAGCACAGCCCCAACGCACAAACACCCTCGGCCCGGCCCTCTGCCCCCTCCCTGTAGTGGAGCAGAGGGGTGGGGGGAACCGAACCGAGCCCCCGGGGCACCATCTCCCGAGGAGTGTTTTGTTTAAGGGACCTTTTATGTTCTTACTTTATACGACAATAAATTGGCTTTTACTTTGGAGACAGTGGTGGTCGCGCCTCACAGCAGTGCTGCTCGTGTCGGGGACCCCCAGTGACCCCCCTGGGCCTTGAGGAGGAGATGAGGGTGCCCGCATCTCTGTCACACCTGCAGGCTCTGCTGCTGCGTGGGGCTCTCAGAAACAGGACACCGCAGGTAACCCTACCTTGGCATGGAATTAATGAGCCCTGGTGGCTCAGGTCACCGCACCGTGCCCCATTCTTGTGGCTGCTGCACTGCTCTCTGCCCACCCGTCCCCACTGCAGCAGAGCAGGGCCACGGTGTGACACAGGGGTCAGGGACGAGCTGTCCCCATTCCCCCTGTGAAGCCCCCAGCACTGTGCCGAGGAGGGGCACCAGGAGGTGTGCAATCCCAGACCTAATGCAGAGCGACAGATCCTGCTTGCAGGACCTCACCAACCCCCTCACCCGGCTGCCCCCAGCCCCGAGCAGATGGCAGCCGCCCCACGAGCAGATTGCAGCCCCCCGGGGGGCTGCGTGGCACCGGGCTGCCCGATGGGGGAGGTCCTTGGCGTCTGCCCTGGTGGTGCTGCCCCCTGGAGCGTCCCCCAGCCCCTGTCCCACTGCCCCCACCTCGCTCCTGCCCTGGCTGCTATTGGGATGGGGGTAGTGGGGATCGGGACGTGTCCTCCCAGCACCCTGCAGCATTGAGTTCTGGGTGATTTGTTTGTGGCCATGCTGCGGATTTACCAGCCGGGATCAGCGATGGCAGAGCGAGCAGCACGTCTGGCACCCCCACATCTCCATTATGGTTGTGGCTGCAGTGCAGCCCTTCGTTAGCAGTGCTGCTAATAGCCCCAGCTTCTGTCCCAGGGTTGGGGGTGCCGTGTTTGCAGGGGTGCTGTGTGGGATGGTGAAGCAAATCCCTTTGGGTCTGTGCACCACTGCCAGCCCCAGACCACGTCCTGAGCCTCACAGCGATTGGATTTAGCAGAGGGAAGGAAGGACGTCTAATTGTTTAATTTCCACAATTATACAAAATATTTATCAATAATTAGGACGGATGGTGGCGATTACGCGGTCATGAAGGCCGACCCACACTTTGCCAGCAGCCCTCCAGCTCCAGAGCTTCATATTTATTTATTTTCAACACAAAAAAATCCATTTACGGTGGCACTGCTGCCAACAGTGACTCTCGGCGATTCGCTGCCTGCAAAGGAGGCATTAATCCTGCCATGCTGCCCTTATGGGGACGGGGCTGAGAGGAAAACGCAGGCAGGCAGTGGGCTGAGAGCCCTGCGGGTCCAGGGGGGAGGTTGGGGAGGTCTGGGGTGATTTGGGGGAGGATTTGGGGAGAATGCTGGGGCTGAACTGGGGAGATTGCTGGGAGGTTTGGGGGAGATTTGGGTAGAATTTGGGGGAGATTTGGAGCGGATTTGGAGAGGATTATGGGGAGATTTGGAGGGGAGATTTTAGGGGAAGTTCTGGAGGGGATTTTTGGGGAGGGTTTTAGGAGGATTCTGGAGCCTTTCTGTGGGGACATGGGGAGGTTTGGGGCAAGGTGCCCCAGCTGGTGGCAGTGATGAAGCCTCCATCATCTTCCTGCAGCCCATGTCCATCTGTCTGTTTGCCATCGGGGCTCCCACATCCTCATCCCAGGCTGGGCTTCAGCAGAGCCTGGGGGGGGGCTGGGACTCTCTTTGGGAGCTGCTGAGGTTGTGGAAGAGAAAAGGTACTGTCCTGTAGGTGTGCACTGTGTCCTGCCCTGATCTGATGGCACAGACTCTTCCTCAGTGCGAAGCCAAAAGGTTTGATTCACTTCTCCGTGTTCTTAAGGCTGAAGTGCTGCGGGAGTTTGCTCCAACCCCACTGCTTTAAAAGGGGTTGGAGGAGTGGGTGGTGAGCACTGAATGGTGCTCAGTGCCCGCCTGCTGCTTCTTCACCTAACAGCTGATGGCTGTGACATTCCTCTGCTGGCAAAGAGGAGCGCAGGGAGCAGAGCCCTTCTGCTGCGTCCCCCCAGGCAGCGTGGGGTCCAGTTGGCTGCGGTAGCAGCCACCCCACGGGCGGTTCAGATGTACATCTTATCCATCAGCACTTAATAAGCGATGATTCCGTAAAGCTCTGAGCACGGTCTGTGCCCACACAGCCTCCTGCTGCCCGGCTGTCGGCACGGATAAGCTGAACCGGGCAGAATCTGGTCGGTTTTTGGATGAATACCCACGGAGGGATTTCTGGGTGCTGTGGGAAGCGGCGGTCACTGAGAGGGAGCTGCTCATCTGCGTGGGTTGGTGCAGTGCAGAGCCAGGCTGATGGCACAGGGCTCCGTGCTCTGAGCTGGGGCTGCTGCCCTGTGCACGGGGGGGAGCAGAAGGGGCTGGGAGCAATTCTGCGCCCCCTGGGGAGGTTGAGGGGCAGACAGGAGGGCGGCAGCTCTGATGAACGGCTGATGGAGCTCCGTGCTGCGTGGGATGGGTGGGAAGGCAGCACTTGTGGGGATGGACTGAAAGCACTGGAGTCGAATCTGTCCTAATGCTGCTTAATGAGCAAAACAATCGATTGCAGATACAGCAGCTCGCCGTCCAAAGCGGGCAGGAGCAAATCTTTGCTGAGCTGAGCTCTCTTGTTATCTCAGTGCTTTGGAAGCTCTTATCTCGGCCCGCTGCCGATCCCAGGAGCTCGCAGCTGCTGTGCAGTGAGTGGGGCTGCGCCACCCGCACTTGGATGGAGGGAGGAAAGAGTGCAGCAGCACCTGGTGGAGAAGGCTCAGGAACCTCCATCCGTCCCTCCCTGGGTGTCCACACTCCCTCCTTCCCTCTGCTGCACTGCTCCTTCCTGGCAGATAGGCTGAGCCATAAGGGCAGCATTCTTCATCTCCCACCTGCACTGCAGAGCTCGTTAGGGCCGAATTCATTAAGGCCCATCTCAGACACCCGGCCCATGGTGGTGGATGCACAGTGCAGAACGCCCCGCAGCATCAGCAGTGGTTTCCCAAGGAACCATCCAGCCCTGCTCTGGGGAGGACAAAACCTTCAGGATGTAAAGACAAGGGGAAAAGCAAGAGAAATGCGTTTGTGCTCCTAAATGGTGAGGATTTGGTGCTTCACACCTGAGAAACTTCTCGTGGGATTCTGGCACACACGACCCCATCCTGCTCTGCTGCCAGGACCCCTCCGTGCCCCCAGAGCACAGGGTGGTGTTTGGGATCACCCCCAGCAGCTTTGTGACACACACAGATCGCTTTACCCTGAATAAACGCCCCATTTTATGCCTGAATACAGGAAATGCAGGAGGGCTGCACAAGTGGAGGAGCTCAGCCACTGCTCAAACTGCACGTAGAGTTCCAGGACCAGGAGCTCAGCATGAGGAGGCCGTCAGGAGACCAACGATGCTTTCACACGTCCCGTTTCTGCATCCTGTGCCACTTTTATGGGCAGGACTTTGCTCCGTACCTCGCAGTGCGGTGCCTCACACACAGCCTGCAGCTGCCAGCGCTATCCGGGCTGTACGTCCCAGGGCTGCACACCACTGCGAGGAGAACAGAGCCCATCAAAGGCTGAATGGGAACCCCCCCGAATTCTGACACCACCGATGGCTAAGCACCCTCTGAGCACAGCAATGTGACCCCATGGGTGCCCCGTTACCGCAGCAGCTGGCACAGCTCCGGTGGGTGATGTTGTTCCTCCCAAATCCTGGGCGGCAGCTGTCGATGGGGGTCACGGAGAAGCTGCCCTCCACGTAATGTATGGTAGGAACAGTCTGAAATTGGTGCTTCAGAGCGTAAGTCTGCTTCCTGAAAAACTCTCCTATTCGCTCTCTTGCCTGAAATGCAGAAAGATTGGAGAAATTAAGAGAAGCGCCCACTGGTTTGGGGTTAAAAACAGTAGTGAAGACTTCATGGAGGGGGAAATGAGGGCTGGTGGGGGTGTGCTGTGGTGGTGTGTGCTGCTGGCAGGAAGGCAGAGTTAAACCAGCTCAGAAATCAGCTGCTTCACATCGTATTCCATTTACAGAATCATAGATCTGAGGTTTGGTGTAGAGAACTGAAGTCTGCTGATATAAATGTTTGTATTCAATTCCTTATGTTTAGGTGGCAGACATAATCTTTTTTTTTTGTTTTTTAATGGATCAGTCTGACCTTTTAAAAGCAAATTCCCATCTGGAATTTAATTATCCGAGCTCCATCAGCTGTCACTGGATTAATCCCATCAGTGCTGGGGCAGAGGGTGGGGGTTTGGGATGCAGAGGGTGATGGCACAGAACCTGCTGAGCTCTCTGGTTTGTGGTGTCCTCACAGTCCTGTGGAAGGCTGCTGCAGAGATCTTCCCATCCTGGAGCAAAGGGATTCACTGCAGGGGGAGAGATACCTTCAATAGGGACTTCAATACCTAAAGGGAGCCTACAGACAGGAGGGGAATCAACTCTTTGAAAGGGGAGATAACAGCAGGACGAGGGGAAATGGTTTTAAGTTGAGGGAGGGGAGATTTAGGTTGGATGTCAGGGGGAAATTCTTTACAGAGAGAGTGGTGAGGTGCTGGAACAGCTGCCCAGAGAGGCTGTGGATGCCCCGTCCCTGGAGGTGTTCAAGGCCAGATTGGATGGGGCCCTGGGCAGCCTGGTCCAGCATTAAATGAGGAGGTTGGTGGCCCTGCATGTGGCAGGGGGGTTGGAGTTTCATGATCCTTGAGGTCCTTTCCAACCCTGGCCATTCTGTGATTCTGTGATTCTGTGAAGTGTGGCCATGGGGGTTCCTTTGGGGATCCCCTACAGCCGATGTCCTGCCTGCGTCTTTGGGTTTGCTTCAGGAGAAACACCAACAAATGGAACTCTGCACCGAGTTCTTTGGTGTTTGCTGGTGATCCCCTCGCCCTCTCACCCCCCTCGTTTTCCTCTCACGTGTGAAGGACGGGGATTTTTCCTCCTTTCTGTCACTGCCCAGCGGAGCTTTGGGAAAGGCTCTCTCCGTTTGCTGGGTGTTGGTTTCAGAAAAGGACGCACGGCAGAGCGGCGGTGCTGCCCCAAAATGGGACCGATTTGTGCCGCCGGGATCGGGAGCGGTGATGGGGAGATGAGATGTGCTGGGGACCGGGGGGTGGCACCGGGCTGAGCTCTCGTGGGGACTTCGGGGCTTTGGAGCTCCGCTGTGCTCTGTGCGCTCTGAGCGCTCCCACTGCGTTCTGGCTCCATCTGTGGGCTGGGAAGGGAAAGCGCAGCGGCTGCGGAGAGGAACGGCCTCGTGGGGGTGCGTGTGTGGGTGCCGGGGGTCATCTGGTGGTGTTCGGTGCCAGAAACCATCCCTCCTCCTGTACCCTGAAAAGTGACGAAGAGTTCGCTCGGGGAGCCCCGGTGGGGAACCTCGAGGGAATGGCAGCGGTAGGAGAGCCGCTCCACGCGGCTCGTCAGGTCGGAGATGAGATCCTCCAGGATCTTCTTCAGCTCCTCCACGAACCGTGCGTTGGCTGCCAGCTCGCATCCCTTTGAAGTGAAACGGACCGAGACCTGGTACACGTGGTTGGCTTCCCTGTATGCTGCCAGAAACAGGAGGTGAGTGGGGCTCAGGCCGGTGCCCGCCTCACCTTCACATCTGTGCGCTTTGTAGCTGAAATACGGGCTGTTACTCAAAAAATAAACATGTGAAGAGTTGGCTTATTAACAAAGCAGAGCTCTCTCAGCCTTGCTGTGGCTGATTCAACTGTAAGGGGTCCTTAGTTTAGAATGAACAGAGTTTTGTGTTTGAGTTATAAAGCCCTGCTCCTGAACGGTGAAACCAAGGAGGTGAAATAAACACGGGACGTCTGTGGTGTGGTGGTATGGATGGGGATGGTGTGAGGTTGGGTGCTGTGGTTCTGTGGGGTGGGGATACCCTGAGTGCTGGAGCTGCTCAGGACCACAGCACTGCCCTGGTTTGCAGGTGCTGTGTGATGCTGTGTGTAGGTGGGTTGGTTCTTATGGAGGATGGAGCTTTGCGTTTCACTCTTGAAGTTGCCATATATTCTTGGTGGCAGTTATTTAATCTTTGGATGTATGAATATGTATAGGGATAGAATGTTAGCACTCTCCATTCACCAAGCTTTGAAATCCACAGGCCTGCCACAAACCCAACGAACCACAAGGGCTGAGTGCATCAGCTTGTCATCTTACCATACACCATGAACCTGTAGGTAATGGTCACATCTACTTCTTTTTGTGCTGAGGTTTCTATGATTCTGTGGGAAAGTGCACACGTGTAGGCTCCAGACATGGACTCCTGGAAGCCCAGCAGCACCAGCTCCCCAGAGTCTGTGAGATTCGCAAATCCTTGCCCTAGGATGGAAGCAGGAGGGATGAGATGGATGGGAATGCATGGCATCTGTGCTGTGCTCATCCAAAGCAGTCGAAGAGGAGGAGGTGCGTGGTGCTGCTCTGTGGCACTCTGGGTTCTTTTAGTCTGAAATGGGTTGAATTGGAGCGCTGGGACTTGGGGCAAGTTTCCCTTCATCCCAAGCATTTTAGAGAGAGAAAGGAGATGTATTCTAAGGCCAGGATTTGGGGGACAAACCCAAGGGCTGTGTGACGCTTTGGTCCCGCTGTTCCACTGCAGAGTGGCATCAATAGGAAAAGGAAAATGTGATTTTGGGTGCAGCAACCTCTACCCAGCCATTTGTGCTCAGCTTTTCCCCTCGTAAGGAGAGGTGTGTTGGTTTCCTGCCCCAGTTTCCCTGATTCCCAGCCCCACCCCCAGGGGCTGTTTCCACACCTGAGCAGCCCTCACTGTGAATGCTTTGGAAACAGTGGCTCAGGCAGTGGGAAAAGAGTGGAAACCCCGTGTGGGCAGCGCTGAGCTTCTCACCTTCTAAATTCCTCCCATCTGGGCCAGTCCACGAATACTTGGGATCTATTACTTCGTCTTGAGAAAGAGACAAATCCATGCACACCAGGGTTGGGCTGTTGCTGAACATTTTAACGTATACATTTTCTGCAATATGAGAGAATGAAGGAAACGATGTGGGATGTTTATAGTGAATGAAACCACGGAATACTTTAGAAGTGCACATAGCAGGAGGCCAAGTTTGTTTCTTGTGTGAGGACTGAGGCAGCAGAAAGGAACCATCCCCAGGTGGTGGGAGCTGACTGAGGGCTGGACCCGGAGCAGCATTTGGGGCACTGAGGGTCCATCCCTCATTTAGACATCACTTCTTCCCCCGCAGCACCAGAGGATGCACGCACTGCCCAGCTCATGCCTTCCCATTGCTGCGTGCCATCAGGATGCTGTTCTGGAGTGCAGCTTTACAGAATGCTCACGATAGCTCAGTGCCACCCCAGGAGCCTGCTGAGGCCTCACACTGTGTGTGCAGCCGGGCAGGTTTACCTGCACGCCGATCGTTGCCATAGATCAGATTCTTCTGAAAAAAGCCAACAGAAAGTTGCTCTTCCTCAGGTGCAGCTCTTGCTGTAGGGAAAAGGATGAAGAATATTACAGATAGAAATCCAACCGTGAAGCTGTTTGCTCTGTCCTGGCAGGCTCTTGCTGCCTGCTCCCCCCCCTCCCCAGGGCTCAGTGGGATGGTGGTGGCTGCTGAAGCACGAGGGCTTCAGTGGGCTCAAGGCAGCCCCTCCAGCACTGTGCTGGGGGATCGGGGTCGGACCCTTCCCCACCCCGTGGCTGTCACTGAGTGCTGAAGGTCCTTCCCACGAGGTGCCCCCATCCCTCAGCCTCCCCCACATCCCCTGTGCCCCTCTGGGGGGGGAGTGTGTGTGTATGTGGGGAGGGACTGTGCCTTCATCCCCCCTCGCTACCTCCTCCCGGAGCGCCCTGACGTGCCTCCACCACCGCTGCCATGATGGCCACCATCCCCAGCAGGGCTTGTTGGGGGCAGCACGGCCTCCCACCACCCCCTGCCATGCCAACCCCGTTCAACGGCCACTGCTGCATGAGGCCAACGGACGGGGGGTTCCAATGGGGGGGGAGGTTCCAATGGATGGGGGGGGTTCCAACGGCCTTTCTTGCCCTCCTCACCACCACAGGGCTGCCTCACACATGGCTCCAGTGGAGGGGATCCCAACCCTGCACAGAGCCCTGCTGGGAGGAGGGATCCCAGCCCCACCCTTGGCTGCCTTTCCTCCCACAGCCCGCGCTCTTGTAATTTGCTTTGTTTTCCAATAGCAGCGCTATTTCACGAAGAAAAACAGATAACAAGAGCCTTGTTCTCATCTTATCTCCTCTAATCTCGGGTGCACCGGAGAGTGGAGTCCGTTCCACGTGGCCCCAGGTCCAAGGAGCACTGCATCTGTGGGTGTCACAACGCGAGGAGATCGGTGGTGGTTTATGTGACGTGTCCACAGCATCGGGGCTGCTGACACCCAAAGGAAACCACGTGGGAAGGTTACTTGTGTGCGTGGGCACCGCTGCGTGCAGCTGCCACACGGGTGGTGGATCCCGGAGCAGAAATGGCACTTTGAAGTATGATTGTTGTTTTTGTTTTTTTTTAATCTGATGCATTTGCACGTGGAGATGTGAGCTGGAGGCGGCTGTTCGCCAGCTCCAGACGGGATGAATGGCTGGGATCCATGGGATCCTTTGGGGGGGATCCTTGGCTTTGCCCATGGAAGTGCACCTGGAGGAGCGCTGCCCCCCGAGTCATGGAATCATTTGAGGTGGAGGAACCCCACCAAAGGCTCCTTGCACTGAACAGGGACATCCCCAGCTCCATCAGGAGCTCAGAGCCCATCCCCTGACCCTGGGTGTCTGCAGGGACGGGGCACTGCCTCCTCCCTGACAAACTGTGCCAGCGCCTCCCCACTCTTACTGTGATCTTTTTCCTTAAATCTCCTCTCTTTTAGTTGGAAGCCATTTCCCCTTGTCCTCTCACAACAAGCTCTCCCAAAGAGTCTGTCCCCTTCTTCCTACCAGTACTGAAAGGTGTCCCAAAGCCTCCTCTTCCCTACGTTAAACACCCTCAGCTCTCCCAGCCTGTCCCATGGCGGGGTTGTTCCACCCCTTGTTGTGATCCTCCAACAGCTCCACGTCTGCACCGAGCATCCCAACCTGGCTCACCTCTGCCCTTGCCCCATGCCCGCAGGAGCCCCCGATGCCGGCGGGGTCACAGCCCTCCTCCCCCGCTCCGTTCCGCCGCTCTCCGTTCCGTTCCCCTCCCTCCGGATGCGGAGGAGCGCGGGGCCGCGGAGCGGAGCGCTCGGATCGCGCAGGTGAGGAACGGCCGCGCAGCGCCGACCCCGCAGCGTTGGAGCTCCGGTGCCGCTCAGGGCTGCGGGGGAACCGAACCGCGAGATGCGCCGCGGAGGCGGCGGGGGGTTGCCTTCATTTCTCCCCATCCGATTTCAGCAGCATCCCGATGCAGTTGGGCTCAGCACCCTCCGCGTGCGCCTTCGTACTCTGTGCGATAAGGAACGAGCGGGCGGGCTGCTTTCTTTCCTCTTGTAAAGCCTCCCTTCAGCTTTCAGGAGCGGCAAAAGCCCGAAGTGCGCGTTAGTGTCGGGCTGCAGCGCTTTCCTTCCTTTATGAAGGAAATCAGATCGTTCTGGTTTTTCTTTTAAGGAGCCTGGAAAACGGCTCCACAAAGTGTCCCCATCGGAGCCGGGCTCACCCCATGCTGCCCCGATTCCTTGGTGAGAGGCTGCAGTCCGAGTTCTGCTGGGACCCTTCAGCCCGGATTCCTCTGTGTGTTAATAACTCGAGGGTTTGGTTATTTTGAATTAGACGCAGTTTTCTATTGGAAAGCATCCGTGTCCTTTGGGTTCTAAAATGCGTGTTTGTATTGCAGTAATATCTCGCACACGATCTGACTTAGCTGGGACTGCCTGAGGGCTGCCACCGTATCTCAGCAGCAGTTCTGCTCTCCGTGGCTTCGTTTCCTCCCTCTGGTAGCTGCAGTTGCTGAAGAAGTCGCTTCGCCTTCCTGTTTTGGCGCGTTTAGGAGTTAACGTGGAAACAGCCCTTGGGTTTGGGGCTGTAGGTGGGGTGGAGGATCAGCCCGTGTGGCTGAGGTCATATTCAGGGATGGAATCAGTGTAGAAGGCAGCGTTAAACAGCGTTACCTCCGGGTGCGATAAGTGCTGCACAGCTCTGTTTCCATGGGTTCCGAGCGCTGCTGAGGTCAGTGGGAAATCTGGAGGAGCACGAGGGGCCGCATCGCTTTGCTCTGCGCGTGGCTGTGGGAGCCTTCCTGCAGGGCAGGGGCCGGGCTGGGCTGCTTTCTCTTAGTGTGTTGGGCCTTTTGGGAGAGGCCGAGAGGAGGAAGGGGCCGCGTCTGCTCCGTGCTGTGCTCAGAGGGCTGGTGGCAAAGGGGATGTAAAGGGACGTCAGCTCTGCAGCGCTGTCGGGTCGAGAAGTGGGAAGGCGATGGTGTGGCTCTCACTCGGGCAGCACAGAGGTAAGGCCATCGCAGCTGCAGCCGTACCCAAACCCGTGGCCCAAAGTACTTTTTTCAGCTAAAATCCAGGCAGACCCTTCTGTCGCTTCTACGGACGGGCCAGGCTGCAGGATGGGGCACTGACGTGGCTGCGGTGCCTCGCCGCTCCTCTAACGACCGATTTGAATATTCGTGCTCGTTTCGCCTCCTGGCGCAGCAGCACACGGGAGGACCGAGGACGGCTCTCAGGGGCACAGGAACGTTACTTCTGCTTCGTAACAGAGCTCTGTGCTCGGCTGCAGCCACGGCACCCGGTGTCCTCCCTGTGCCCGCTGCCCACCCGGTGGCTCTCGGACCCCTCTCTGCCAGGACAGACGTGCTCTGTGAGTGAGTTCCCACCTCGTGTTTTTGGAATGCCGGGAAGAAGCGCAGCGTTTGTGCGGGGCTGGGGATCGTGGAGCGTTTGTTCAGCGCCGTGAAGGGTTGGGGTTGGAGTATCTGAGTTGGGAAAGAGATCGGAGATGAAATATTGACACCGGGGGTTTAATGCTGAGATGCTGCTAAGCCTACAGGGAGCTTTTCAGGTGAATGTACAACGGGGGAGGAGGGATGAATGGATGCTGAGCCTTAAGTGATGTAAGGGCTGGGCTCCTTCTGCACAGAAAGGAGATCCTGCATGGCGTTTTGTACTCAGGCCCCTTGAGAAGGGCTGTGCTGCCCAGCAGTGCCCGTGGGCTGGGATTTGTGATGGTTTCACATCAGTCAGTGCACAGTGATGGTCTCAGTGCTGAGCAGGGCGCCCACAACAGTGGTTTGCTGCTGAGATGCAGCCACTGCCATGCTCCCGTGGGGCTGGCTGTGTCCTGCTGATCACAGCAGGTCGGTACAGCAGTGCCATCCGGATGAAGTAGCATGGAATAACGGGGATTTGACCCTCTTGCCTAAGCACTCATTATTTTCAGAGCTGTGAGGATCTGTTTAATGAAGTGTCCATTAATATGGGAGTAAATTCAGAATCCAGAGCAGGGAGAGCTTTTTCTGTGTGCTGTGCATTGGCTGATGTTTCCGTGTCGGTGCCCTGGGTACAGTCGGGCCCATTTGCCTCTCTGCACTTCACACTTCCTGCTATGGTAAAATGAAACAAAGGCAAATTAGAAGCTTTAAATATGAGGTAATTGGGTATTTCTTATGCAGATGGAGTGAATATTTCAACTTCTTGTTATCCAGTCCTGTGACCTCTCTTAAGACAGAAGTTAAGGGAAAATTTACGGCTCTAGGAAGAGAGGCTCCATGAAAAGCTTGTCCTCGTGCAAGGACGGGAGGTCTGATTTAATTACAGGAGATATTTCATAGCTGGCAATACTTCACAACTTGTCCACAGCCCCGGGAGCTCGGGCTGCTGATGGTTTGGGTCGCTGCAAAGCCCATCCTCACCGCCTCTCCTTTTCTTCCTGCTCTTTGGTGAGAGCTCATGAAGGGTAATGGGAACGATGTGCAGCACAAAATCATAGAACAGAACCACTCATGCTGGAAAAGACCACAATGATCACCAAATCCAACCCAACCCCTCACCCACACTGCATCCCCCAGCACAGCTCTGGGACCCACTGCTGAGGAATGGGTACAGGGTGCTCATCTCTAGGGCTGCAATGGAGCCAAATGTTGAAGAGCTGTGCTGGGTGGGTTTCCTTTTGCTTTCCTTGTTGGTGGGTCTCCTTTTGCTTTCCTTGTTGGATGGATCTGGTTTTGCTTTCCTTGTTGGGCTCATCCACCCATGCAGCTCTGGGCAGCCCTGTCTGAACACTCCATTTCTCTACACAGAGTTAACAGAGCTTTATATGTTGACGTTGTGGAGACCACAGAAATGTTCCATGTGTGGTGGTGGCACAGATAGATAATAATGGGCTGCAGTTGACACCTCCTGGCTGAGCTGTTACCTAACCACCAGGAAAGGGTTTTGTCCCTCCTGATGCTGCTCCTGGGTTACGTGCAAAGCGGAGAAAAGATGTTCAGATCTGTTAGAAAAAAAAAAAGAGGAAAAAGAGAGAGGAAAGGAAGGAGGAAGGAAGCAGGTGGCTGTGACACCGTGAGGAGGGTGAAGCCTGGAAGCCAGCCTGCTGCTGCAGGGCTCTGCGGGCTCCAGCATCCCATGGGATCCCCATCACAGCTCCCAGATGGAAATTGGACTCGTGTCAGTGCCAACAGATCTCATAAGGGCTGCAGGGTCTGTCCTTGGCTGTGGAAGAGGGGCTGTGGCACTTCTTGGTGCTTTGTGCTCCATCAGTGTCAGCGCTCGCGGGGCGCAGAGGGGTGAGGGATGGAGAGGGCGAGTTGGTTCTGAGCTGCAGATTGTATTGAAAGCAAGAAATACAGAACCTCTCATTTGGGGCATATGTAAAAGCCTGTATGCTGAAACGTGATGATCATTAGGTAATTATTTGAGTTTTGCTTTTTCAGTTTTGCTTCCAGTGAAGAAGACGGAGCTCTCAGATTAGCAGCCGTACTGCGAGCAGCTTTACAAATCTGGAGCAGCTCAGAGCTGTTTTTTGTGTCTTTTGCAGATTCACAGAGCAGCATGGATCTCAGCAATCCCCAGGAGCAGCCCAAGGCCGCAGGTACGGCCCCAGAAACCCCTTTTGTATGGGGGGGAATGTGAGGATGAGGGCATCGTTGCTCTTGCTGTCTGACTGTTAATGTTCACAGCGTATTGAAATGATTGATTTATTAAAGATTTGGTTCCCACTGTGTCTGGGAACCTGTGTGCAACTTCTGGGCGACAAATTCACTCCATGGAATTGCAGTGGGTGCAGCAATAAGAGCACTGAGAGCAGTGCTGGGGGTTGGGGCTTGGAAGCAGTGCAGCAGAAATAGTCATTTCCCAATTTGCTTTGCTTTTTCCAGAGGGACAGGAGGTTCTGGAGGAGTGCGACCTGAGCAAAGGGCAGGAGGTGGAGGGCACGGATAATGCAGAGGAGCTGAAGGAACACAGTCAGTCCAATGGAGAAGCAGGAGGTACAGTGGGGGTGGCACAGAGTGGTGGGTGTCCCTTGGCTTTCTGTGCGTCGTGGGAGTGATGAGGAAGGATGTGTTGGGTGTAATAGAAAACAAGCAGCTCCTGGACTCGAAGCACTCCTGCTGGCTCTTGGATGGAGAAATTGTGCCTTCGTCCTGCATGCACACAGGGTGAGGGACCTCGAGTTTCTCCCTTGAACCAGAAACTCATGGCCTGAACCTGCAGCACTGCCAACATTCCTGCCTGGAATAGATGTGCTGTGTGTGTCCAGGGGGGCAGACATGAGAGGCAGTGGGGGCTGGGGGTGATGCCAGCACAGCAGTGCTGTGACACGCTGTGGCTGTGGCTGGTAGTTCTGACACAGAGTGTTTGTATCACATGAATTAGTGATCACTGCAGGGCTCTTGGTTTGGGATATTCAATGGGTGCCCCATCCCTGGAGGTGTTCCAGGCTCTGTTTGTTCCTTGTCAGTCTGATCTAGAGGTTGGCAGCCCTTCCCATGGCAGGGGATGGAACTGGGTGGTCTTGAGGTCCCTTCCAACCCAAACCATTCTATGGTTCTGTGATTCAATGACTTCGTGTTGGGCCACAACAAAATGTTTGGGTTTCCAACTTCTCTGTTATTGAAGCTGTGTGTATTACAGTGTCTGGGCTGGTGGGTTCTGCTCCACTGACCCTAAAAAGGGACATTTCGTGTTTTTAACTATTGAACGTGGAAAACTTGAGCCTTTCCTACACCCAGAGTCATCTAATGCTGCCTTCAGATCCCACAGCACGTAAAGCATTGCCAACCATTTGTCCACCCTCCCACTGTTTCATAGAACCACAGAATCTTAGGGTCACTGAGGCTGGAAAAGTCCTCCAAGATCATCCCATCCAACTGCCCACCTATCACCAATACCTCCCCACTACGCCGTGTCCCACAGTACAACATCTCAGCACTGTGAGCTGCGTGAACACCTCCAGCTGCAGTGACTCCCTGGGCACCCATTGCAGCACCTGACCGCTCTTTTGGAGAAGTTTTCTCCTCATATCCAACCATATCAGCTCTGCTTTTCCCCTCCTCCATGCTCACCTTGAGGAGGGCAGGGTTGTTTCAAAGCCTTTTGGTGCTGCTGAGCGCATGGGCTGTGTTTGTTCTGCACTGCAGCTGCTGGTGGCGGGATGCCGTGCGGCCAACGCAGCGCAACCCAACCCTGCGGAAAGGCTCCAGCAGCTGAAGGCAGGAGGTTGCAGTGATGGGTAATTCAGAGCGTGATGGAAAACGTGCACATCAAAAATTCGAAAAGAAAAAAAGAAAAAAAAAAAAAAAAACAATTAAAAAAAAAAAAAAAAAAGAGCCCTTCTTTTGCCTCGAGGGGATGGAAGCTGTGCTGCGGTGCACACGTGTGCGCTCGCTGCAGCCCTACGAGCAGCACTCGCTTCCTGTGTCTGCTCAGAGGGTGCTGGGGCAGAAGTGGGGGAGTGCTCCGTGTCCCTCATTCCTCCGTGCACCCCACAGCTGAAGAGCCCTGTAGTTTAAAAATCAGGTGGAAAGAAAAGGCGTTGCTTCCTGGGGGACCAAACCCAAGGGTCCCCCCAGGACCCAAACCCAAGGATTCGGTTGCTTTGTGCCTCAGTTCCCCCATCCGAGGCTGAAACCTTTGGGGTGTACAGATGTCAGCTCCCTTCCGTGCTTCCAAAACCAAACCTCGTGGTGGCTGCGGGGCTGATGAGGGACACGGGGGGGACTGAGCACTGAGCTCCCACCGAGCCCTGAGCGCACGCACTTATCAGCCCGGGAAGGAAGCGCCGCGTTTTATCAGCGCGTTCCATCTCCGAGCGCTGCGCCCGGGGTTATCTCGCGGCATCAGCGCTGCTGTGCAGCCCTGCGGGGCTCTGCGCGGGGGCACGGAGCGGGGAGGCACCGCGCTGCTGTCAGCCCTGCGCCGGGTGGGAATGCTGCGGGGTGGGAATGCTGCGGGGTGGGAATGCTGCGGGGAGCCGAAGGGCATCGGCTGCCATTGGGACTGGGGCAGGTGTGGGGCAGAGCAGTGCGTTCGCTCCTCCTGCTGTGTTCCCCCCTCGATGGCGGTGGTGTGGGGTTGGTTGCTGAGATGCTTTTGGTGCTGTGATGGATCGTGTGCTCTTTTTCCCGTCTCCTTGAAGAGTATTTCTCTTCGGGGTGTGTTTCAGATCCGTCTCCTGTTGTTCATAGAGACTCAGCACAGTCTGAGTGGGCAGGGACCCATGGAGCCACCCGGCTCACTCCCTGCATTGGGCAGGGACACCCACAGCTCTGTCACAGTGCCCCTTAATTTTGGGCTTCTCGAAATTAAAGGGGAGAGAAATGTTTGCCGTTGGCATTCAGGTGAAATCTGCTCTGGGGTGAATGAGCTGCAGTCCCACCCACCGCCCTGTGCAGAGCAGAGGGACCCAGGAACTGGAATTGCATTGCAGGGAGACGATGCACTGGAGGGGCTGTGGGGAATGGGGCTCTGTGGGGTCACAGCATGGGGTGCTCCCAGTGTGGGGTAACGTTTCTCCTTTATCAGCAATTCCATCCATCTCATCACTGTGTCTCAGGAGGAAAGTCCTGTGGAAATGCTGTTATGGGTTGGCAGAAAGTTGGTGATGGGAAACATGGGTTGGGAAATTGGAGACGTGAGTTGGAATGCAGGCTCCTAATGAAACCCCCTCTGTGTCTGAACAAAGAGCTTTAAAGGGCTGTGATTGAGGTCAGGTTCAACTCGCATCACCTCTAAGATAACATGCTTCTAAAAAATGTGTTATTCTTGTAATAATCATACAACAACATAAACATGTTGTGCTTTGGCAACAAAAGGACGTGGCTATTAATGAAGTAGCACCTCCAAATGCTCGGAAAGTGGTGAGCAGTGTCCCTCCCTCCCCTTCATTTTGCAGCCCCCCTCCTTGCATCCCTCTACAAGCAGTGGGACGTGAACACGGTGTGACTCTGGGGGCTCCCAAAAGGACTGTGGGTCCAGGAAGGGACAGCCCCTGCATGGCCATGTCTCTGTGCAGCTGTTTTGGGGGATGAACCATAGGTCAATTAATCCCTGATAGAACCACACCCCCTTTATCCACACAGCGGCAGCGTCCTGCTCCCAATCCCATCCGCAGCTGTCAGCACCGGGTAAACTATTTATCTGCTTCCACAATTTGTTTAATTGGATACTTAGGAAGCGGCAGCCGAGAAGCGCCTTTCCCTTTTTCCTCTTTTATTTCTTTTCCCTATAATCTGAGGGAACATCTGCACCGCGAGGCGCTCATTATCTCCCCATCGGCGCAGCAAATCAGCGGCACCGTTAAAGTGCCACATCACCGTGATTGAGTTCCTTTGTTCCTCCGTGGACTTTTTGCATGTGTGGAGGTGTCACAGCGGTGGTGTCACAGCGGTGGTGTCACAGCGGTGGTGTCACAGCGGTGGTGTCACCCCCAGTGCTGCTCCTTTGGTGGCTCCTGGTGCTCCACCTCGTGCTTCTTGCTGCGCCAAGCCCAAACTTTGCTCCACAGTGGCGCAAACCCCGCACATCTTTTTTTTTTCTATATTTGATGCTGCATTAAGTCTGATGATGGGGGGGTGTATACATGGGGGGGTTGCTACTGAGCCTTTCCCTTTGGTGCAGCCCTGGTTTGTCCCCGCTGCTGGTGCTGCTGGATGGGACGCACACAGCACTGCTCACACGGTGACTCACTCTGCAGCCGCCACCGCCGCTTCACGTTGGATTTTTTCCAGCACCCATTGTTTTTACAGTGTTTCAGGTGAAACAAAAATATTACTCTGGAGCCCGTCTTTCATCTCACAGCCACCTCCCCAGGAAGCGAAACCCCACGCTCAGCCCTCCTGCTTTTGCTTTGCTGCGTGCCGCTGCTCTCTGCCCCGCGCTGCCCTGAGCTGAGCGTCGTTCTGGCTGCAGCTCTCCTGAGATAACAACCCAGCTCTGTTATTGCTGGGGGCAGCTGTTGTTTTCCCTCGGTTCCTCTCCCCTTTTTGCTTGCTGTTGCCTTCCTCTTGCTTAAGAGGGACCAGCCTAGAAACTCCTGATCCCATCGCGATGGGGTGTGTGGGTTGGGATGTCGCACCCTTCTCCCCATCTCACAGCGCTTGCTGTGCCTCTGGTGGTGCATGGAGACAACGTTGGGGCTGGAGAAGGGCTGAGGCTGTGTCAGACCCCCCCCAGCCCTGTGGTTCAGTCTGGGCTGACCTCAGTCCTCCTCACATTAGAGCTTTTCTTTTTATCTCTGCCCTCTCCCAGGTCAGGGTCCGTCTGACTGCAGATGATGGTGTGAGGGTGGAAAAATTCCAATGCTTGTAATGTATCTGATTTTGATAAAAGCCTCTTCCTCAGTGCTGCTGCTCTGTGCTCTCAGCCACTGGAGGGGGAAAGTTTCAATTGAGGCTCTTCAGGCACCCACATGGGACCAAAGCGTGGCGTTGGGATTGCCCTGCAGATGGGGTGAGCTGTGCTCCATAAGGCAGTAAAGCGTGGCTCAAATGCATCCGTGTGCTCCATAAAGGAGTAATGCATGGATTGAACGCATCCCTCGGCTCCATAAGGCAGTAATGCATGGATTGAACACATTCCTCTGCTCTGTAAAGGAGTAATGCATGGACTGAGTGCAACCCTCTGCTCCACGTGGCAGTAATGCACGGCAAGCAGTCAGTGTGCAATGTGGGAAATGCAGAGGTGGCAGCACGGGATGCTCCTTTGGGCACTCAGCAGTGCTCAGCCATTGTGCTGCATTTCAAGGATGCTGCCACGGCTCTGGGAGGGTGAGAAGCTGTGAGCTGCAGTGAGAAACGGTAGGAAACAGCAGAGAGCTGCTCTCACGTGAAGCTTGCAGCTCATCCCCCCCCTGGAAGTCATTGCTTTCAGTGCAGGCGGAAGGTGAGACGTTGAGTAGAAAGTGGGAATTGAAATTGTGTCAGAAATTGGCACCGAGGCGCAGCTGCGGTGCCCTTCCCTGCTGCAGCTCTGATGGGTTTGGAACCGCCGCCTCTCGAGGGGGAAATGCAGCTTTTTGGGTTTGGGAAAGAGGTTCTGTTGAGAGGTTCTTCCAGCAGCTGATGGCTGTTGTTGCTCAGAGATGGGTGCAGGAACTGAGTGCCAAAGTCCTGAGAGCAAAACCACCCCCACAGGTTGGAGGTGTTTTGGGGGAGCAGGGCTGGTCCTGAAGGAGGAGTGATGAGAAGTGATGTGGATGGACCCATGGACCCATGGACTGCACGGAACCCTCCAGCAAACCCCCGTGAGCTGTGTGAGCCACTGGGAGCAGAGCAGCCCCAGGGCTGGGCTTCCCTGTGATGGAGAAGGGCTGTGGATGCCATCATCCAGGGGAGCACTCCGAGGGATCTCCCCGAGTTCTCCTCTCTGCTTGAATTCCTGCATGGGATAACACAGCTCTCAGCCATCTGTTCCTCCCATCTTCGTCCCAGTCACCTGAGCACGGCACCAACACCAAGGCTGGAGGAGTGGCTGTCACCAAAATACGGCTGAAAGCATTGATTTCATGGAAGTATTCATCGCCAGGTTTTTATTTCTCAGCGCCGCTTTTATGTCACCGCCTCATTTTCGCTGCCACTGCTGTTTGTTCTCAGCATTTGATGTGGTTTATTACTCAGAACCGGAGCTAATACACTCAGCAGCCCAAGTTCTGCACTTGGAGAAGGGATCAGTGATTCAGCCCCATGCTGACTGCCCAACCCTCCGCTCAGCAGAGCGGCAGGCAGCCACGAGAGCAATGCTTTCCAACAGGACTCAATATATTTCATCTCCTGACACTTCCTTTCACCCAACTTGAGGCAGAACTCAAGGCTCAGCCACAACCTGGACAGAACAGTCAGAGTTAAGCAGGACAAAAGCTGCCCCATCAATTGGGAAGGATTGTAATGCGAGCTGTGATGCTGCGGTGGAGAGGGAGAGGAAATTTGGGCATCATCAGCAATCTGTACTGTGAGACCCATTTTCTCATACACGGAGCATTGCTAGCAAACTCTTAGCTGCGTGTTCTGCTCTGCTATTGCCATGAGTTGACACAGAGCTTGTCAGATGCTTCTGAAAATCTTGGAGATCTTTGGATTAACGCTGCGGTGGCAAGTGAAGATTAAAATGAATTGCTCAGGATTAATTGCTTAGAATTAATTGATTAGAATTAATTGGTCGGAGTGTTTACCCTGAGATCACTGGAGGTCTTAGCAGAGCAGATGCAGTTTTTGGCCATGCTGGAAGCACGCAGGACGTTCCCAATGCCATTCTGCCATTCTCATTTCCCAGCTCACAGAAACGCCCCGTGGCATTAATTTCTGTGGGTTATTGTGGGTTGTGCAAACCGGTGCTTCCTTTTGCATCCTGAACAGCAGCACCCTGTGAGTGCACGTGTGGGGTTTGCACTGCGTGATGCTTTTATCATCTGCAGAAGGAAATAATCCACCAAAGGTAACAACAGGGCTTATCTCACTGAGGGCACATGGCACGCGGGGATTTGTCTGACTGCGTTTCTTTATCTTGGTGAGGTTAAGCAAAACTCTTGGGGAGATGACTGATAGAAGTTTATGTAATTTTTGGTGAGTATTTTATCTGAGATGATCGTTTTTTCCCCCACTTTTGTGCTCTGTTTTGCCTGCAGATGATGTTAAAGTGAAAAGTGAATACAGTGACAGAGAGGAGAGTGCTTTAAATTCTGAGCGCATGGAAAACCCAGAAGAATCCGAAATACCTTACAGCTACCCCAGAGAATACAATGAATACGAAGGCATTAAGCTGGAAAGACACCTGGGCTCCTATGACAATGCCAGGCCAGCGAGTGGGAAGATGACCTGCGATATCTGTGGCTTAGCCTGCATCAGCCTCAATGTCTTGATGGTTCATAAACGTAGCCACACCGGTAAATATCCCACCTTCTTCTTCAAGACCTAAATACTGAAAGGATAACAGTCTGGGATGCAGAGAGGATGCCGAGGTTGGGCTTTCCTGGTTCCAGGGGTCTCTGGCAAATCGCTCACGTTTCTGTGCCTCACTTTACCCACTTGGCCCTATTGGGACTCCATGTCACAGCAGCGTATTGGTGAGGCATGTTAAGGATTTTGGATGAAAGGCACTATGTCATTTCAGTATTTCAGCCCCAACACAGGGGTTAGATGGTTTCTGTGCTGCCATTTCCAGTCTGTGTGCTGTGTTTCTCTTTGTGCCATTCTTGCGCAACAAACCAATGAGCATCTTCGGTTTTGAGCTGTAAGATAGGACTTTTTTTTTCTTTCTAAAAGTTGCTAGCTTGTTGGAATCAGCCTCCTCCAGACCACTCCTTTCCATGGAAAACCTGTGCAGTGGTTTCCATATGTGTGTTATGAGAAGCTCTGACACCAGAGCTGCACCCAACTCCCACTGAAGCCAACGGAAGGGCTGTGTGTTTCTGTATACAGAAATTGATCTCATTCTTTCCCCTTCCAAAAAGGAAAGGGTATGAGGATGGCGTGATACCCACATAACCATTAAATGTCCTTTTTTGTATGTCATTTTAAGGTGAGCGGCCATTCCAGTGTAATCAGTGCGGAGCTTCCTTTACTCAGAAGGGTAACCTCCTCCGCCACATTAAGCTACATACAGGGGAAAAACCTTTTAAATGTCATCTTTGCAGTTATGCCTGCCAGAGGAGGGATGCGCTAACGGGTCACTTAAGGACACATTCTGGTAAGTGACTTCAAAGGCACTTCGTGTGTTTCAGATGTGTGTCACCGGGACACGATGTGCAGAAAATAGTCAGCAAAGTTTGCGCAACTGAATTGGCTCTGAGGAGCTGGCAAAGAGCAGTGACTGCTCTGTGCCATGTCAATGGGACCCAATGGGACCCAATGGAACTGTGTGGGACCCAATGAGACTCAACGGGACCCAACAGAATCCAGTGAGACTCAATGGGGCTTGGAGAGACTCAATGGAACCTAATGGAACTTGGTGGGACTTGATGGAACCCAATGAGATCCAATGGGACACAATGAGACCCAAGGGGGCTTTGTGGGACCCAATGAGACCTAATGGGACCCAATGAGACCCAAGGGAGCTTGGTGGGACCTAATGGAATCCAATGAGACTCAAGAGGACTTGGTAGGTCTTGGTGGAACCCAATGAGACTCAATGGGACCCAGTGGAACCCAATGAGACTCAGTGGGACCCAGTGGAACCCGGTGGGGCCATCCTGGGACTTGACTGTGCCCTGGATGTGTTTGAACACTATAGGAGCAGAACCAAAGGCAGCGTTGGTGCTGGTAGCACCTCGGTGCTGGGTAGTGCCTTTCATCTGAACTTCTTAACCTGCTCCACAAATGCGGCGCGATCCCTCGAGTTTGGTGTGGGGCGTTGTGTCCATTGCACAGGTGGGAGAAACGGAGGCACAGAGCTGCAGTGATGTGAGTAACAAGCCGGGTAGAAATGGATGAATTCCTCCAATTCTTTAAGAGCCAGACCATGCTGCTCTTTGATTTCCTGTCTTATAAGGGGGCCCAGAAAGAAAGCAGATGTTCTAAATGATAGATATTATCTCTGCACAGTGCTGCATAGAAAAAAAAAAAAAAAAAAAGCCTCACAAAGAACCGAAGCTAAAATTGAGATTTACCTGATGTGAGTGAATGAGATGGGTTTGGCCAAAGGCCAGAGCAGTTGTTGTGACCGTACCCCCACCATCGTGCTCCCAACACAACTGGTGCTTACCGAGGCCAGAGTTGGAGGGGCTGGCTAATTAAACAGCATAAAGAAAGCGAACTAGGAACACAGCGTGCTTTCTGATAAGCTTGTTTGGAGATGAACTGAACCCACAAATGGTTTTGTTTTGGTCTCATTTTCATCACTTTCATGAAATCCTTAAAGAACCCAGTGCAGATGGAGCAATGCTGGGCAGTGGGACGTGGCGGCGCGGTGCCGTTCTGCCAGGGGAGGTGATGCTGAGGGGATCTGCCAGCTCAGGTCGGCCATTAGGGAGCTTAGGGATGAGGAAGGCTTTGCAGGAGCCCTCATATAACCCCAATTTGATGGCAGTTTCCATGCTCATGAGCCCAACAGAAATGTAAAGCATTCTCCATGTGCCGAATATTAGGCTGCCAGCAGCAGTACGCCTGAGTGCCAGGGTGGGTGGGTGTCCCTGCAGCTATTTAACTCTCCCCTCCATTTCACAGTGGAGAAGCCCTACAAGTGTGAGTTCTGTGGCCGGAGCTACAAGCAGAGGAGCTCTCTGGAGGAGCACAAGGAGCGGTGCCGCACGTACCTGCAGAGCAGCGGCGGCTGTGAGCCGGGTGAGTGCCTCATTGCAGGGCTCTTTTCTCTCTTTCTGCACATCATTCTGGTGTTTACAAACAGGGCGCCTGGTGAGCTGTTGGCTCGTGGCTTTGCTCCAATGGCTTCCAGTGACTCAGGGGATGCGGTGTCTCCCAGAGGGTCAGGTTCAGCGCACCCCTGGGCAGCCAGCAGCAGAATGCTTTCCTTGGAATTGCTTTTTTTTTTATCTCACAGTGGCTCTGAATACAACTAAAACACCTTCCAGGCAGCATTTCTGTGGGTGACACATTTAGAGAGACAGCAGTGTTAACGAAGGCTGTCTCATGGTAACCCAAAAGCTGTGCTCAGCGATGCTGCTGTGCAGCAGAACTCACAGAGGGCTCGTCCCAAGCCATGCCCAAATCACACTCAGCAATCTGGTGATAACTCCATGCAGTGAGGATCCTTACCCCGTGCAGGGAGGGTCTGTGTGTCATGCGCTGAGAAACCACCCTGAAGAAGCAATGGTTGAGTGGTGCTCGTGGAGCTCCTTCTTTCCAGCAAGCAGTCGTTGCTTTACAGCATCAGTCAAAGGCGCTGGCTGTGCGAGCATCAGCAAGTTTTGGTTTTCATGAGAACTTGTGCACATTGTGACTGTGGTTTTGTGTTACAGTACACACTGTCACGATGGCAATCGCCCCGACGTGTCCACCGCGGGAAAATGGAAAACATGATACCACCCTACATCTCTGCTTTTACACCATTCTCATGGCTCACATTCATTTCAGAATAGCAACACGTCACTTATCCACAGCCTGCAGCGCAGCGCTGCGCGGCGCACCTCAAAGTGGTCGCGGAGGAAACGTGAGTTTCCAGCACACGACGTGGCTGTGCTCTCTCAGCCCTCCTGAAAACACATGGCAGTGTTTCTCGTGGAGCAGTGAGTGATGAAAAACAGGAACTCCTGTCTTGCTGAGGTGTTTTCTTTGCATTCAGTTTTCTGCTGTCGGCGTCGCGGAGCAGAGGGGAACCTCGGCGCGTTGGTTGATGCTTCTGATTTATTTTTTTCCCTCCCAAAGAGGAGCTTTGTGCTCATTTTTAACATCGCTTTCAGACTTCTGATCCTTTTCCCATTACTCCCTTTGCTTTGATTTTCAGTCCCTTTTCCTGCAGTCCTTTCCACCCTTCCACACGGAGCCATCTCTGTGTGCCACTGCCTGTATAACCGAAGCACCACAAGGCACCAGCAGTGCTGTTCCATCCTGCTTGCTTTTTAACACGAGGTTTGCACGTTCCTGGCCCAGCAGCATGGAAACATCTCTGAAGAGCAGCTTCATGCAGCAGCGTTGCTCGGGCCCTGATAACGATCTCTGGTCGTGTTGTTCTCATTGCACAATAACCCGCCTCGGCTCCACTCTCCATTATTTAGTGACCACACTGAGAAGTGGCAGGAAGCAATGCCTCTAATTCGAGCTCGGCTTTGTGCTTGAGGGTTTTGAATACAATGCCCACACGTTCTAAAAATGACACTCTCATTTATGGGGCGAGAGAAACCACGCTATGGAAACAGCGAGGTATGGGAGAGGTGCTGCTGTCCGTGCTCTGCACAGCGACCAGAGCTGGCGGGGAGATGTGTTTGCAGAGGTTCTTGCAGCATCCGTAGAGATGCTTCAGTTTTCTGGCTGTGCTGTTGGACCACTCGGCTTGCAGGGTGTCCCTGTACCATGTTCTGAAACAGGCTGAGTGCTTCAGGGGTTTGGGGTTTCCTTATGACTGTTCAGCTCTCAGTGTAACTGTGAGCAAAGCATTCAGTCCTTTCTGCCAGTCAAACCTGGAATTTATGTTTGGATACATGTTATAATTAGATAATGAGTTCTTTAAATTGGGGTCGGAGTGCAGAGTGGGATCTCCTGGTGGGTATGGCCATGCGGGTATGGCAGGAGGAGACGGATGAGATGGATATGGTGACTTTTCTCCTTCTTTGAGATGTCTATGGAGAATGCTGAGAGGGAGTGCTTCCTAAACACCAGACATTGTTCCTGGAGTGCTCGGGGGGTGACACAGAGATGGGTGAAACCACTGGGTTGGGTTTGGGGAAGGGAGTGCAGTGCGATGGGAGAAGCGATGCACCGTGGGAGCAGATCCTGTTTCCCTACAGCTCTGCTGTGAAGATGCTGATGAGAGCTTTTGTGCCCCATAAACAGAGGTTATTTATTTCTTTAGGAAGAAATGCCCACTGGCAAAGGTCACTGTTGCCTTTTTGCAGGGAGCTGCTCACTGCCCCCTGAATGGGGGGCACTCATTGAATGGGGTTCCCCCAGTGGCACGTAACTGAGAGGACAGGTGGGCACTGATGCTCTGCTGTGTGTCAGGGCTGGTGGGAGAGATGGCAGGAACCAGGAGGAGCAGAATGATTCTGGGGGTGGGAAATCCAAGCTTTAGTAGTACATCAGATGGTAAAGATAAGTGTTGAGAAAAGGAGGAACTAGGAAGGAAAAAACTACTCAAATGGAGACACAATAGGTGTTAGCATGGCTTTGTTCATGGCAGTGTGGATTTTTTTAAAAAAGTAATGGTTATGAATGACTTGTCACCATGACTGAATCACTGTAGAAGCTGGCTGGGCTGGGGCAGCTCGAAGTGTGAGCTGCTGTTATCTGCAGGTAACGCGAAGCGCTCAGAAGGGATCAGACAGTTTGTGGAGCAGAAGTTCCAGAATTAAAAACCCCATGAGGTGCTGCTGCCCCGGCTGCCCTGACTCATCACAGGAGCTGGCAGCAGCGTGCGTGAGCCAGGAGCTGCACAAACATCACCAACCCGTTCTGGCTGAGGTTTGGTGAGTCATGCTTTGTGCTGCCCGAAACCCATCTGATACCGACTGCAGTCACAATAAACACGTGAGGAGGGGCTGGGAGGTCTGTAGGGAAGTGCTGCATGCAGAGCTATGGAAGGGTGATGGTGCACCTCCATGTCTTGAGCTGAGCAAACTGTAATTTGAGCCTGGCACTGAATAGAACTGCACTTAGCAGGACTGAGGTGACAGCAGTGTTTATATCACTGCTCTCTGCTGCTGCTTCTCTCTCACGTAGATGATGCTCCATGTATTTCAGGTATCTCCGTGCTCCACTGGGAGCCAGTATTCCTACTTTGGTATTGCCTCGGGAAAGCAAATTGCCCTTCCCCATCCTCCTTAGGCAGCAAACCCCAAAAGGAAGGCACAAGCTCTGAAAAGGCATCCAGCTGTCACTGCTGTGGTCCCTAACGCTGCAGCCCTCTGTGCTCCTTTAATAGCAAAGCAGCACCACTGATACTCGTTGGTTTTTGGGGTGAAGCTGCAGCAGTTACACTTGTTATTACTTGGGTAGTTGTGAGATGAGCTGGCAGCGTGGCTGACCCCGCTCTGTTGCTGTGCAGCTGTTTCCCTGAAGCAGTGGGCACTGGAGGAGAGCTGTGGGGAATAGGAGGATCCCCAGGACATCCCATGGTCCAAGGACTGCTCCAGGCACTTCCCATGGTCCAAGGATTGTGGTCCAGGGGCATCCCATGGTCCGGGCTCAAGGGAGGGATCCTGGGGCACGTGTGCACTTCTCTGACAAAGGTTTGAATTGGCTTTCAAACACCAAATGCTTTCAAGTGCGCCGAAGGAGAGAGCATTCTCAATGAGCCGATGGAAAGAAGAGCTGGAGCAGTGAGGAGGCTTGAGAAGATGGGCTGTAAGGAATCGTGGCGGGCTGTGTGAGCTCAGTGGGACGCTGCAGAGCTTTGCAGCTTCTCGGCCCTTCGTGAGAAGGCGGCCAGTGAGTGATCAGTGAGTGATCTGCGAGTGATCTGTGAGTGATCTCTGGAGCAGTGCAGAGGGGCTGAGCGCTGGGTGGGAGCCTCGGCTGGGACTGCAGGTGTCTGCAGCTCTTACTCAAAGCAAAAAGGCCACCAGAGCTCCGGCTCCAGCACTGTGATGCTCTGCAGCCGCCCGTCCAGCCGCCGGGCTCGCGCTTCCCTTTGCATTGGTTTTGCACCGCTCTGTGCTCGGCGCTGCTCAGTGCTGCTCAGTGCTGCTCCCGCTGACCGCAGCGGTGCCCACCGCACCGAGAAAGCAACGACCCACCTTAACAACAGACCTCCAAACTGTTTCCTCCTAATGAGCGGGGCAAACTCCGGACATTAAACCATTCACTTCTTCCTATTTTTTTTTTTCCTCTCTTTTCACCCATTTTTGTTTTGTCTTTTTTCTTCTTTTCACCTTTTCCAACCCAGCCAACGTGGAGGCGAGGCACATCAAGGCTGAGATGGGGACCGAGAGAGCCCTGGTGCTGGACAGGCTGGCGAGCAACGTGGCGAAGCGAAAAAGCTCCATGCCCCAGAAATTCATTGGTAAGAACAAAAACCTTCTCGTGTGAACTGCAGAGGTGGGCAGCAGCCCACAGGGAGCTCCTCTGTGCTCTGTCAGTGTCCTCTCCAAGCTCACAGCCCAACAGAAGGGGGTAGACATAAAGCAGCAGCCGTTTTCTCACGTGGTTTGAGCAATTTGCTGTAGGTCTTGGGTTTAAAAGGATCTGTTCTATAGATGCTGCTGTGCTTTGTACCTCTGTGTGCAGCAGTTTCTATCTCACGAGCTCCCGTGTGCTGTGCTCTGCATCAGTGCGTTTGAAATGTTCTCTGCTGGGTTCTTTCCAGGAGGAGAGCAGCGAAGTTGGTGCTGTTGGAAGCACACTTTCTGGGCAGTGGGATTCTTGCTGCGTGCGCATGCAGGATGAGGGCAAGAGATGGAAAGGCATTAGGTCTCTGTTAGTCATCTGCTGCACTTCAGCATGGTTAAAAAAAATATCGAGCCCTTTCTTGTGGTCACTTAGGCTGCAGGATGTTTCCATAGCATTCTCTTTGCATTTAATTCTATATGATCAGGCTTGCACCCTGGGATCCTGAATGCAGGTCTGGCAGGTTGTGTCAGCGATCCCCCTGGCTGTCTCATGTTGTTAGTTTCATTTAATTTTGGGAAAGGAAGATGCAATTCTCGTGTCCTGAACAAAGAGCTGACTTAGGAGCTCTATTGCTATGGATGGGTAAGGTTAAGGTCAGGGTTAAGGTCAGGGTTAGGGTCAGGGTTAAGGTTAGGGTTAGGGTTAGGGTTAGGGTCAAGGTTAGCACTGGGCTTTCAGCGTTCATGGAGGCTGCTC